ATGGGTTAATTTAAGATGTAAGAGTTACTTAATAAGAAGCCTGAGCTAATTAGCCAAACAGTGTTGTAATTAATGTAGTTTCTGTGTGATTATTCAGGTCTCAACAGCCAGGAAACATAAGAACAGTCTCCAATTACACATGAGTGGGTGAAGCATCACAAAATCTTTGCCAAGAAATCAGATATTATTCACCTGAAATAAATACCTAATGGAGAATAGTAATGTAGTTATTTTGGATGTCAATATCAACATGTGACTTACAACAGCACAAATGCTATTAATGTCATCAGAGAACAGTAGAGACTTCTCGTTGCTGTAACCCCCAACAGTTTGTTTAATCAGTGTATTTGAAACTTGTCTTTATTAATGAGTCCCTCTCTTCTGTAACTATAAAAGATTAGTGAAACTTTTACCATGTCATAGCTTTGTCCATTGTTTACCCAAAATTAGTGCCCATAGAGCAATAATGTAGGAAAGGTGTGGAGTGACCCATCATTTTCTGATTGGATTCAGAGCCCTTTGCACAGGAGGTAACTGAGGGGATGTTAAATTTGTGATATACTTGTGCTTGGATCAGTGATAAACCCGAGGGAGAATTTAATATTGGTGTTTTAATAAGTGTATTGGAACTAAATGAACCCAAGTTCTCAACTTTATACCCACAGTCAGGCACCTCTCAGCCTTCACCAGAATGTATTAATTGTGTGGTAGATGGAGAAGACTACACAGATGCAAAATGATCAAAGTGTGAAGAATATTCCTCTGTGGAGGGCCTAATCCAAAGATGACACCTGCATCACACATCGTAAGTGAGTTCCCTTGCACATCTAAAGCCAAAAGTTATGGAGAAGCGTTGGAAAGAATGTCAGAGCCAGGTACAGAAGATGTGTGCCCTGAAGCAGTAGAAATGTTGAGACATTTCTAGAACAGTGAAACATTGATAGAAATGTTAATACCAATTAATGCATGAACACCCTATGACTATGACTACGTGGATAACACTAATATAAGCTGAACCACAGCATACGACAAGCATGTGTGCATAAGACCCTCACTGTCTCACCTGTATCGAGGACCTACTGGCAATTGATGGCTGTTGAGGAAGACAGTTAATCCAGTTACCTTCCAGGTTCCAGTCAACTCTCCTACACCCCTAAACACTAAGGAAACACTAATAATAATAAATAAATAAATAACAAAGAAAAAGCCCACCGAGTAGTGAGCGTAAAGTGTTTGCAAGGGTAAGAAGTAATTGGTGAAGGAATGTGGAGATTTGAGTCAAACGTAATATCCATGTGTTAAATTTCCCCAAAATATATATCATTTTAAAGATTGCTGTTTTGGGACATGTCCAAACTTGACCTGTATTAGCAGTGATTACAGTGCCTGAATCTGGCTGTCATTTCCAGAGGGTCAGCATCCTACTGGGAAGGCATCCTGAGGGAGAAAGTGAGTGGACTCCCAGAAGGACTGAGGTGCTGAGGACTAAGGAGCCCTGCATCAGTGTAACCTCAGGGAAGAGACAGGGATGGCTTTGCAGAGATGAGATGCGGCCAGACACACCTTGTATCTTCCCCTAGGCTTTGTCATGAGCACAACAGAGGAAAGCGGAACAGCAGCTTCTCCACCCTTCCCTCCCTCCTACATCCACAGTGATCACAGCTGCTTTAGCTCCTGGTTATCCATCATTATTTTATTTTATTTTATTTTTTGGTTTTTCGAGACAGGGTTTCTCTGTGGTTTTGGAGCCTGTCCTGGAGCTAGCTCTTGTAGACCAGGCTGGTCTCGAACTCACAGAGATCCGCCTGCCTCTGCCTCCCAAGTGCTGGGATTAAAGGCGTGCGCCACCACTGCCCGGCTATCCATCATTATTATACAAGGAAAGGAGTGTAGCAGTCAAATGAACTTGGTGGGTAGAAAGTTACAACACATCACATATTTTCTATCATTGAGTTTTGTTAAAAACTGTTTATTAACATGTAAATGTCCTCTGCACATTAGAGAAAACACAGAGGGATGTGCTTCCAGCTTAAACTTCCATCACAGTTAATAACAGAAGAAGGCTGCTATGTGAAAAGGTTCAGTTTTTACAAAAATGTCTAAGATGTGGTCAGCAATGCCCCTATAAAAACATCAGGTTTGCTCAGTGTGTGTGTGAAACAGTGTTTTCTTCCTGCTTGGAGTCTCTGCAGACCTATGTATCGATTTCCTCACAACACAGAGGGAGGTTTCCTTATGAATGGAAATGGCCTTAATGGATATACATTTGTTCTGCAAGAGAATGGATATTTCAGAGCTGTGGTCTAAGTGGAAGCTTCTCAAGTAGTCAACTTAAGTGTGAAGTATAACAGAGACACACTCTCAGGAGTAGATAGTATAGCAGAGACTCACACGCTCAGGAGTAGATTGTATACCAGAGACAGACACACTCAGGAGTAAATAGTATAGCAGAGGTTCATAATCTCAGGTGGCATTTCTTATTTGTCTCTCTTTAATTTAAAACCCTATTATTTTGAAGGCAAAAACATTCACATGTGAAAACTACAATACCTGAAAAGTACAGTGTTGTTGAATATTGTTTTAACTAGGCAAAGGTGTGTTACATTTGTTTATGCTGTGTAAGATTATTTTAACTGTGTAAAACAAATAAAGTGTTACATTTGCGGCTGCTGCCTTTGTTTACAATGTAAAGATGTGTTGCATTTGTTTTACCTGCCTGTTTAAGGCACGGGATTGGTTTTATAAAAGCTGAATGGCCAATAGCTAGGCAGGAGAGGAATGGGCAGGGCTGACAAGCACAGAGAATAAATAGGAGGAGAAATTTAGGCTAGAGTAGAAGAAAAGAAGAGGATAAGGGAGAAAGAGGGGGGCATGCAGGGACCAGAAGCTGAGCAGCATGCAGTCATGGAGACAGCAGGAAAGAAGTACATACAGAAAAAGAGAACAGTGACCAGGAAAACTGAGAGAGTCCTCGAGTGCCACTCTGAGAACCTGGCAGTCAGAACAAGTTAACAAACACATGGACTTCCCTCAGAAATAATAAGTTATATTACAAATTGAAGAGGAATGATTGTCATGTGACCATTTTTGATATACTAGTCTCTTATATATGACTAAGGAAATAATTTGTCTTTAAACAAATCAGACAATGACATGACCTTATAAGAATATAGGTCAAGTTACACCCTCATACGTAATAGTAATATATATATATATATATATATATATATATATATATATATGTGTGTGTGTGTGTGTGTGTGTGTGTGTGTGTGCTGTTAAGTCTTTTCTTTGACTGACTGAAAAGCTTCGTTGACGATGCAATGAGCCAATCAGACCAAATCAAACCAAATTAAAAGAAACCCAGGTTTAATGGATGCTAGCACTCCCAGGTGGCCCCTGAGAAAACACAGAGAGGGGGAAAGAGAACCAAAATGACCACTGGGGAGGGAATGGCCACGTTTTCATTCTCTGAGGGGCAATTTAAATAGCCTGTGGGAGTGGTCTAGTTTCTCCCTGGGAAGAGATCACTGTTGTTGGTCTTTCTCAGAGGTGGAGTTTGGACTGAGGCAACTCCCAGGGGAGGGAGCTTTGAAAAGGAACTTTCCACCTAACATTTCAAAATGGATGCCAGGGGGCCCGGGCTGAAGTCCCCAGCCAAACAGGTACAACATGCCAAAATTAAATCAATACCAGATAAACAATTTAAATAGATCTGTAACTCATAAGGAAAGAGAAACTTTCATCAAAAGTTTTCCAATTATAAAACAAGCCCAGAGCCAGATAGTTTAACCACAGAATTCTATGAAAATTTTAAAGAAAAGCTAATACTTATATCACACACATTATTCTAAATAATAGAATCAGAAGGAACATTGCCAAATTCTTTTTACGGGTATACAGTTACCCTAATACCTGAGCCACACAAAGACTCTACTAACAAAGAGAATTACAGCCCAATTTCCCTCATGAACACTGATGCAGAAATACTTAATTAACCACTGGCAAACAGAATCTAAGAACAGACATAAAAATATCATCCAGCATGATCAAACAGGCTTTATCCCAGAGATGCAGGGATGGTTCAACATAGGAGAATTTGTCAATGTAACCTACAATATAAATAAACTGAAAAAAAAATGCCACATGATCATCCCATTAGATGCTGAAAAGGGGGCTTCTACAAAATTCAACGTGATTCTTTCTTTTTTGGGGGGTGGGGTGGGGTGGGTGGTGGGGTGGGGTGGGTGGTGGATAGTTTTTGAGACAGGGTTTCTCTGTAGCTTTAGGGCCTGTCCTATCTATCTATTGTAGATGAGGCTGTCCTCAAACTCATAGACACTCTCCTGCCTCTGCCTCCCAAGTGCTGGGATTAAAGGCATACGCCGCCACCACACATCTCAATGTGATTTTTAATGCCATGGTAAGACTGAAATCAGAACATACGGACCAGAAGTGACCTGTGAGCCCAATATTTCTGTCAAAGTCTTGACTCACGTTTACACATGTCTTGCTCTGGATCTGGGGGTGAGCACCAGACCGACTCTCCACAGCTGATTTGGAACCTAAACAGTAGTCACATTGTTGTTAGGAAACCACATTTTATACAGTGTTAGTCAGATCACACTTTTAGACATTGTTTGTAAGTCTCCATACCTTACAAGAACAAGATTCTGTTTCCTAAGCCTAATGTACCTTGCTAAAAGTGTTTCAACCCGTTGTGAGTTTATGACCCATGATGTCTGCACAGTTTGCCTTACAAAAATAGTCTGTGATATGATTGCGATTTTGCCTTACGAAAATGTTTCTCCAGATTCCTTAATGAACCCCTCCCCACATGCTGTATTTTAAATTTCTGCCTCCTCTTCTCCCCGCCCCCCCCCTACTACCCAACGTAATCTTTTGTTTATAATTTCATTCTTCCTATGGGTCATTTATCTTTCGCGCGGATTTCTGGGAAATGTAGTCCCCGCAACTGTGACGTCACAGACTGCCTTCCAGGAAACCCCACACTCTAGGTCTCTACTTGTACGCGTGCCCCAAAGTTGGGCGAGAGTCCCGCCTGCTGTGCATTCCCGTTGCGTCTCTGACACGGAGGTTGGTCCAGGATGCAGCGCAGTCTGAGGCACAGTACGGGGTGCGGGGCCGTCTTGGAGGGCAGACCCGGGCTGGCTGAAGAAGCTCAGGGAGAAGTGCTCAACTGACTGGGATGAGGGCGACAGGGACTGTGCCCTGAGTGATGATTTCCTTAGGACTCCTCGTGCAGCCCGAGTGCTCCTTGGGCTTCTGGGACAGGAGAGCATCCCGGGAGCGCGGATGACAGTGCAAGGTCCAGGGTTGCAAGCTAAGGATGGTCAGCTGACTGCCTGCTCCTGAGGGGGAGCTGGGAGCCCCTGAGCAGCTTTGGTGGGGAAGCCGGCCTCACTAGCTGACCCATTCTCATGTGGATGATGTCGGATTTCTCAGTATCTTTAAAGCAAACTGGGTTTCTAGTCGTTCCTTTACTTTGTTAGCCGGCCTAGTGTAACGGTCTTGACGTCTTGATTGTGTTGATTTTCTTTGGCAGTTAAAGAATTAAGAAAGGAAAAATCACAGGTCACGTATGGGAAATTCTGGAAAATAACAGACAGGTCTTCTTCTGCTATAGAAAGCTTTGACTAGGGTGGAGAGAACACACATTCAGCCCACACACAGAGGGACCCTCTGCAGGAAGAAGGAAATGGAGACGCTGACTCCAGGCCTCATCTCGTTTTCTTAAAGCTTTGAAAGTTCCTCTGTCCCTAATGCAGGGTGGACTAACTGTGAAAACGACAGGATGTCTGCTTGGCCCACAATGGTTCTGTCAACGTCTTGATGTGGCCTTGAGCTTGTTGAGCTGGTCCAGAAGCAGGGTCCCTAGGAACAGGTGAAAAGCTCTCATGGTCTTGTGTTACAGTGCCAGGCTTTTGTGTCAGGTTAGCAGGTGAGGAGAACTCCCAGACCTGTGTGTATTCCTGGGATTTTAGTAACCAGACCTGTGATAGAAAAGAAACGTCAGTCTCCTCTGAGGCACATCCCTGTCATCTCTGCGTTTGTGAGGGGGAGGCAGGGCCCTCTGGTCCTCCCCTGCTTCATAGCAAATTCCAGGTCAGCCTATTTTACCCAAGTCTGTGACAGGGAGCATTTCAAGATTAATGTGATAAATCGTTTCTATGGTGTTTTTCCTGTTTCTTACAGTGAACACCTTGACAAATCTATGCAGTCGACACTTCATTGATTTATGTGTGCTTAATTTCTGCTGACTGATTCCATATGCAATTTAAATTTTATCCCTAACAAGTTCTTGTTAAAGATTTTAATTTTGGTGCCTGCATTTACTCTGAAAGGAAGAGTTCTCTTTGCCTTGATTGAATTGTTCTCCTAATATGCAGCGATTGTTCATTCTTGCATATTAATCTGTGTTACTCTCATGGCCTGATGTGGCTTTCTTCTGTTTTTTTTTTTTTCTGGTTTCTTCCAGTTTGTTCCTTTCCTATTTAATCTGAGACTCAATTATTTCTTCATTTCCATTCTGCACTTCTTAACTTATGCGGCTACTGTGGTTACATTCCTGGGTCTTTTTCTGCAGCTGCAGCTGGGATGTCTTCCCCTGTCTTACAGCAGAGGTTCCACTGTGAGCAGATGCTTCTTACAGTGAGCCAGAACAAAACCACTTCCTGCACTGTCCTCCACATGGGGCAGTGCCATATCTAACCCATAATGGAAACTAGTAGTGTTGAATTCCTGCTCTTGCAGTTTGAGTCCCATTCCCCTTGCTGACGGTCCTGTGTCTTTCCTCCTAGGCTTCTTTCACTGTGCTCTGTGTCAGTGTGAGGGAAGGAGTTACCTGTGTTTACAGCTCATGTGTAACCATGCTGTGTTAGTTAGACATGTTATCTCTGGAAAACCCTGGAGCGGAGGTTCTGGGTGATGACATTCAGTTCCTGCCGATCCATCTACCTGATTATGCCAGAGACCACAGAGAGACCTTGAAAATGATCTGAACAGGGGTCAAACACAAGACTGGACCCTTGATATAGTAGGTATGTACAGTATAGATATGTACAGGTATGTGCTGTGTGTAACAATGTTAATTAGAGAAGAATGAACAATGTATCTGAGATAGATTATTGGGGTACATGAGAGAAACTGCAATGAGGAGATAGAGGGGAAAATGACAAATTTCAATTTAGTAATTTTTCACAGAAAAATTACACTCTTGCCAATTGTAACAATATTGGTGAAACTGGAAGTTATGTCAAGAAGACAGAGGTAAATGACACATGATCTCATCAATATGTTAAACATAATGAATTGAAACTCACAAGATAGAGATTTGTTAAACACAAAGCATTATAAGGCATAGAAGTTGGGAAATGTAATGATTTTTTTTCCATTTACCGGTGATATCAGGAAGCAAATACTTGGACTTCCTTTTGTGGATTATCATCTTAACTATGTAAAGAGGTTTCCGTTTGCTTGTGGATATTGGTTTCACTATGGAAAGATGTGCTGCGTGTTTACCTTGTCTGCATAAGGCACCTGATTCATCTCATAGCTAAATGACCAACACCTAGGTGGGAGGGATAAGCGGGACTTCCATGCAGAGAGAGTAAGGAAGAGGAGGACTCCCGGAGGCAGAGACAGAGGAGGCAGGAAAGCAGGACATACAGAGTGAAATATAAGCAAAGCCCCAAGGGAAAATGCAGATGACTAGGAAGAGGTGGAATTAAGTTAGAAGAGGTAGTGGGACAAGCATAAGGTAACGGCCAAGCTTCCATGATTAAAGAGAAGTCTCTGTGTCATTACTTGGGAGCTGTTGACAACCCAAATAAAAATGTTAACTGCGCTTCCTGAAGACTGAGTGTTCTGGGACAGCGTGATGGGGGGGAGAAGCCCCATGACAGTTTCCCAAATGCTGGATGTGCCTTATGTAGGGTACATTCTGGAAGCCTGGAAAGAAGTGTTTGAGGGGTGAACATACCATACCTGAGAATCCAAAGCTTAACCATGAAATTATTAGAATAACATAAATTGTTGATATTTCTTGTATTGATAAAAAGGGAAAATGATGTGTGGCTATTTTCATAGCTCATTCTGGTATGTTACTCAAAATATATGAAAAGCATAAACTCTAAAAGTAGCAAGATTTGAAATGTGAAAATAGCATTAGAAATTGTAGTTTTCAGCTACAGCACACCTACGCACAGGTGTCATATGTGCAAAACAGGCAGATAGAAAACCTCTTTACATAGTTAAACTAATGGACCACAAGAAGGAAGTCCAGTGTTTGCTTCCTGATATCACAGGTAAATGGGGAAAAAAAAACATTACATTTCCAACTTCTGTGCCTTACAATGCTTTGTGTTAGGAAATGCTTTAGGAATACCGCAACCCTCTTCATCAGTAGCAGAGAAAAGCTAGAAAGGGAAAATGATGTTAAGATCCAGAGATGTCTGCTCTATTTCAAATTCTCAAATAGTGTTGTTAGTCCTATTCTTGCCTATTTTCTCATATGATCGGATACTTAAATGATATTTACTCTGTGATTTCCTCCCCTGGCCTGCTCTTCTCATGTCCTGTGTCCCTGTCATCTGCATCATTACTGAACTCTGCAGAAATCCTGAGCCCACAGCACAGCCAGAGCTGCTGCAGCAGACGCTGTATTTTCATTCCACTTCACTGTCATGATTGTGCGCATGAACTGTTGAGAAATCCCTTCTCCCTCACCGTGACTTTCTCCTGTGAGGAATACATACGTGTGTGGTGTGTAGCAGCACATGACACTACATGCGTGTTCTGAGGCTGCATTCACTTTATGTGTCTTTCTCAAATGGATCATGTCCCACTGGGCTTACGGGCTCCTTTACCTTGCTTTATTACCGATGGTCAGTATGAGCTCATGTGACCACTTTAGGCATGTCTGAGGATATTACTACCTGTGTAAGAACATTTCTAGTTCTCTTTCATCCTGGACAAATCCGTGGTGCCTGTCTGAGGGTTCCTATTGTGCTAAAGCCCGTGATGAGAGACAGCTTGGAGAAGAAAGGGTTATTTTAGACTCCAACTCCAGGTGACAGTCCATCACTGGGAGAATTCAAGGCAGGAACGTGAGGCGTGAGGTGGAGAACAGGCCACAGAAGAACACTGCTTACTGACTCCCCGAGACTGCTTTCCTGTACCATGTAGAACTGCGTGCCCAGTGCAGGCATCACCATAGTGGGCAGTGCTGTCTCATAGGAGTCACTAGTTCAGAAAATGCCCCTAGACTTGGCTACAGGGCAGTCTTGGTAGGAATTTTTTCAATTATTTCTCTCTTTTCAAATTGGCCCTAGCTAGTTTCAAGTTCTATTCAGCCCAGAGCCTCTTGTCATTTAAATTATTTATGGTTTTAAATAAATTAATGTGTGGTATCATTTGCTAATCTTTATTTTAGGAAATGCTGTCCTTCTCAGATGTGGCCATTGAGTTCTCTCTGGAAGAGAGGGAATGTCTGAAGCCTGCTCAGTGGAATCTGTACAGGGATGTGATGTTGGAGAATTACAGCCACCTTGAGTTCCTGGGTGAGCATCTCCTCTATAGTGACTTCTTAGTTCACCATCAACATGTAGCTTCCTCACTTTGTGTGGTTTCTCATGGGAACATTTCAACAGTCAGTTTCATATCCTTCGTTTTCAAAAAAATTGAGGAGATCACTATATTAAAAGTCATTTCTGGGCTGGAGCGATGGCTCAGTTGTTAAGAACATTGACTGCGCTTCTAAAAGATCATTAAGTAAAAGGAAACTACACTTTCCTTCCTGCCGCTCAGATGTGAATAATCAGAAAGAAACTATGTTAATTACAGCACTGTTTGGCCTGTGAGCCCAGGCAGGAAATCCCACATCGCCGGCACTCCTATGATAGTTCACAATTGTTTGTAAACCCAAGGTCTGACAACCTCATGTTGTGTGATGTTTTAATTGTGTTGTGTCCTGACAAATAAAGCTTGACTGGAGTCAGAGGGTAGAACTAGCCACCAGTTGACCATAGAGATATGGAAGACTGTAGCGAGGGGAACAGGACGTGGAAAGCTGGGCTGAGACAGGATCTCTGCCCTTTGGATGGTGGAATGGAAGAGGTAGGCGCTTCTCTGATCTTTCAGTTTCTTAGCTGATGTCTGACTTCTGATTTTTTATTGATAAAAATTAATTAGATTATCAAATCAACCTCATAGAGACATACATCTGTAGAAAACACTAATGCATATGAAAAATTAATATAAATAATGAAAACAGAAAGATTCCTAACACTATTTGCTTTCATCTGTGTTTAACCTTTCCGCAATGGGTGTGTCTTTCCCTCACTCTAGTGGGACTTTTAGAAATTCAGTGGCGTGAGAGGTGGAGCTCACTTTTTACTTGAAGTATTTTACAGTTCAGTTTTACTGTTTTTTTCCCTTGAAATAAAACTCACACTCTGGATATTGTAGATTCCATCTTGTGTTGCAGTGATCGTGTCTGAAAACACTTAAGGAACTGATTGTCTGCAATCATTTGTCACCTCATCTCTGTCCTTACAAGTCATGTACAGGAAGTGACATGTCAATTCTGAGTAAAAGAACACTTAACAACTTCTTCTCTTTATCTATACACAGGTCTTGCTGTCCCTAAGCCACACCTGGTGACATTTCTGGAGCAAAGACCAGAGCCTTCAGATGGGGAGAGACAAGCAGCAGCCACCGTGCACCCAGGTGTGTAGGAATGAGGGGTTCAGGGGCAGACTTGATATCCTGAGATCCAACAGAAAGTGAGGCTTTCCCATTTACCTTGAAACATAATACCATGGGCATCATTCTATAGGTCTCTCTTTATCTTTGCTGTCAAAGCACATGTCTCAGTTTTATGATGATTTAAGTCTCTTAAACTTTGGATTTCCCCAATTACAAGCTATGCTTCTATTTACAGACCTCTAAGGAGTTTTTCTGTAGCCCTAGCAGTCCTGGAGCGGGCTTTGTAGACTAGGCTAGCACTGAACTCTAAAAGATCTTTCTGCCTCTGCTTCTGAGTGCTGGATTTAAAAGTGTGTCACCACTCCTGGCCCAATATCCACTTACTTTAAGTACATCTGATTTTAATATTATTCCATATAAAGGAAAAATTGAACTTAAATTTGTTTCAGTCTCTTACTTTAGGATTACCTCTGATGACAGGTACAGAGGACTGGATAATGGAAGGTAGAAATATTTTTCTCCCTCTAATATTGTGTTTGAGTCCAGCCTGGTCGAGATAGTGAGTTACAGGAGAGCAAGGTCTTCATAGAAAAACCTTGTCTTCTAAAACCAAAACAAACAAAAAAGGAAAGAAGTAATTTTTTCATATCTTTATTGTCTTAACCAAATATATTGTCTTAATTTGCCTCATGCATAAGTAAATATGAGGGTTTTTTTTTGTTTGTTTTTTGTTTGTTTTGTTTTGTTTTTACCATGTTTCAATATGTTTCAGGTATATATTTTCTGGTCTTTCAAATAAAATGTAAAATAATGTCCTGAATTTGAACTATAAATTTTGTCTTTATGTAGACTGTCTACTTGTACAGCATATCTTTTGTACCCCCAAAGTAAAACTATATTGTAAATGCAGTAAATGTTTGCATTAGACTATGTCTCAAATTTACAAAGTCAAAAATAACTTTCTCTTACCAGAACTCAGCTAGTATCCTGCGATATAAAAATCTCTATGCATTTAATCAGTTTATTTCTCTTAGTAAAATGCCCTTGCAACTTACTTAGCTATTTAACTTTGAATTATATGCCATTATATCTATGTTCTATTTGGATGTTCCATTATTGGTGTGGGACAATTCTGTATTCTGTCAATTATGTTTTAAATAAACAGTGATTGGCCAGTAGCCAGGCAAGAAGTATAGACGGGACAACCAGACAGGAAGTAGAGGAGGGGCAATGAGAACAGGAGTATTTTTTTTTAGTGTTTCTGTTGTATTTTATTAATAATCTATTTGTACAGATGTTTGCATGTTCTTTGAATCTCCTTATCATATGTTGTAACATAAATTAAAATAATATCAAAAGTATTACAGGGAAGGAGGAAGCCCATTCCTCCCCAGTCCTTCCTAGACACAGAAGAAGGAAGATGTGACCTCCCCTGCCAAAAAAGATACTGAGCCATGTGGCTAACATATACTAGAATAATGGGCTAATGTAAGTTAAAAGAGTTAATAAGAAGCCTGAGCTAATCGGCCAATCAGTTTATCATTAATATAGATTCTTTGTGTGATTTCTCTGGGGCCAAATGGCTGTGGTACCTGGTGGGAGGACATAAACCCCAACAAGCAGGCCCACATGTTACACATTATTCTACTTAATAAAAGTATAGATTTTTTTTGTACAATATTTTATCATTTATATGTAGTGCCTCTAAGTTTGAAGTGACTCATTTTTCATTGCTTGAATATGTATTAATAAATGTTTTCTTCTAAAAGATAAGCATTGTAAGTATGAAGAATATTTTCTAACCTTTATTAATATCTCAACTTTTGCTCTACAGGAACAATACCCGAAGATTTTAGCATTTTCTCCAAGACCATTGATGATAACTCACTATACATTCAATGCCGGAGAATTCATACAAGGGAGAAACCTTACAAGTGTGAAGAATGTGGTAAGGGCCTTAGTTCTTCTAAAGCACTTTCCATACACCAGAGACTTCACACTGGAGAAAAACCCTACACGTGTAAAGAATGTCACAAGGCCTTCAATACTCGCTCATCACTTTTTATACACCAGAAAGATCATACTGATGAAAAAACCTACAGGTGTGAAAAATGTGGCAGATCATTTTACTATCTTTCAATGTTGAAGCAACATCAAAGGATTCATTCTAGAGAGAAATCCTACAAATGCAAAGCATGCGGCAGTTGTTTCTTCTCGTTTTCATGCCTTAGACAACATCAAAGAAAACATACTAGAAAGAAATCATACAAGTGTAAGAGGTGTGGCAAATGTTTTTGCTTCATTTCATCCCTTTGGCAACATCAAACAATTTACTGTAAAGACAATCCCTACAAGTGTGTGGACTGTGGCAGAAACTTTAAGTCTTTGTTATCCCTTAGACGACATCAAACAATCCATTCAGCACACAGTCCTTATACCTGTGTATACTGTGGCAAATGGTTTCCCTGTTCTAGGGCTCTTCGGGATCATCAAACAATTCACACTGGAGAGAAACCCTACAAGTGTGACGAATGTCACAAAGCCTTTCATTATCACTCATCCCTTAAGACACACAAGAAAGTTCATATGGAAGAGAAACCCTACAAGTGTGAGGAATGTGACAAAGCCTTTTATTATCACTCATCCCTTTGGAGACACAAGAAAGTTCATAATGGAATGAAACCCTACAAATGTACAGAGTGTGACAGATGTTTTAACTCATCTGTATCCCTTAGACAACATCAAAAAATCCATTCTGAAGACAATTGTCATACCTGTGTACACTGCAGCAAAAGGTTTTCAAAGTCTAGGGATCTTCGGGTTCACCAAAGAATTCATACTGGAGAGAAACCATACAATTGTGAAGAATGTCACAAAGCCTTTCCTTATCTCAATTCCCTTAGGAGACACAGGAAACTTCATACTGGAGAGAAACCCTACACGTGTGAAGAATGTAACAAAACCTTTCATGGTAATTCATCCCTTAGAAATCATAAGAGAGTTCATACTGGAGAGAAACCCTACAAGTGTGAAGAATGTCACAAAACATTTCATCTTAACTCATCTCTTAGTAGACACAAGAGACTTCATACTGGAGAGAAACCCTACAAGTGTGAAGGATGTCACAAATCCTTTCATCATAACTCATCTCTTAGTAGACACAAGAGACTTCATACTGGAGAGAAACCCTACAAAGGTGCAGACTGTGACAGATGCTTTTCCTCAACTTCATCCTTTTTATGACATAAAAGAAATACTCATTATGTTGAGAATCCCTAAAATTTCGGGGAATGTAGCAAAGACTTTATTAATCTTAATATCCTTATCCAACAAATGATATAGTTAATGCAGGAGAGAAATTCAACACATCTTAAAAAGTTTACTTCTTTAAACACATCAAATGGTTCATTCTGACTGCAAACTTCATGTGTGTGTCAAATGTGTTAAAATCTTTGCTAACAAATCAGGAATTTTTCACCTGGAATAGTTAATCATTTTGGGATGTCAATACCAACATGCAACTTACAAGAGCACACATACTAAGAATGTCATCAGAGAACAGCAGAGACTTCTCTTTGCTGTAACTCCGAAGGGTTTGTTCAATCAATGTGTTTAAAACTTGCCTTTATTAATAAGGCTCTATCTTCTGTAACTATAAATGCTCCATGAATCCTTTACCATGCCATAGCTTTGTCCATTGATTGCCCAGAATCTGAGATCTGGGCTGTAGCAAAGTTACTGTTGTTTTTCTCAATGAAGTCATCCAAACTGCTCTAATATCTCCCCCTTGGTGTGTAAGAAGCTCTGCTTCTCTGAGCTAGCAGATTTTCACCCAGCATTTGAATCTATATTGATAATCCTTATTGGTAAAATAAAAGGACAGAGGCAGAGTTAAAACTGTATAAATACTCTTGCCATCTAAGACACCCACAGCAAGGCAGCAGCTGTGGCAGCAGAGGTGTAGCAGAATTTGAACAGATACCCTGAAAACAGCCAGTGATGGAGCTAGGGAGCAGGGCCACTAAATTTAAGGAGGTCTAGATGTTCCTAGGAGGAATCCTGTCCCTAAAACCTTGTCAGTTATTAATGGCCCTTTGTTATGGTTTTCACGCCCCAAAGGTGACCAATGGTTTCAAAAGCTACCTTACCCTAGCCCTCCTTACTCAATCCCAAGACAACAGGACATGAACTCCCCCAATTATGGCGTTTCCTCTTTACAAGTTCTCCCCTTCCCTGGGTTCCAGGCTGACTTTGGCTCACCCACTAATTAGCGTAGTCGAAACTCGATATTAAATATTAAAAACTCTCTTGTGCTTTCGGAATCCAGTATTGTGGAGTTTCATTTTCGGGGATATCCAACTTGGATATAGCACTTATTTTCTTTAGGTTTAGTTTTGTTCTTAATTGCGTCCCTCCTAAAAAGCCATTTATGCTTCGCGCAGATTTCTGGGAAATGTAGTGCTTGCGTTTGTGACGTCACAAGAAGCCGTCCAGGAAATCTCATTCCTGCTTATGTCTCCACATGTATCTCTTCCTGGAAGTTAGGTAAGACTCCTGCCTGTAGTGTATTCCTGTTGCGTCTCTGACACGGAGGTTGGTTCAGAGTGCAGCGCAGTCTGAGGCACTGTGCGGGGTGCGGATCCGTCTTGGAGGGAGCGGACCTGGGTTGGGTGGGAGGGCGGGAGAAGCTGCCTTGGAGGTGCTGTGCTCAACTGGCTGGGACGCCTGAGATTGCAGGTCAGGGCTGGGGTTAGGGCGACAGGGACTGTGTCCTGAGTGATGGTTTCCTTAGTATGCCGCGTGCAGCCCCAGTGCTCCTTGGGCTTCTGGGACAGGCAGTGCTGGGTCCAGGGTTGCAAGCTAAGGATGGGCAGCTGACTGCCTGCTCCTGAGGGGGAGCTGGGAGCTCACTGAGCAGCTTTGGTGGGGAAACACACTTTTCTAGCTGACCCATACGCGTATAAATGCTGTGAGATATCTCAGTATCTTCAGAGCAAACAGTTTCTGGCCCTTCCTTTGCTTTGTAGCCGGCCTAATGTAACGTACGTGACATTCATGAAAAGTTTCTGTTCCCCGATAAGCCTCTCTGTTGATGAAATGATCCGAATAAGACCAAATCAAACCGAATTTGAAAAAGTCCAGGGTTGATGGATATCAATGTTCCATAATGGCTTTCCAGCCCTCCAAGAGGAGATAGGAAATGATGACCAGAAAACCATGTGTTTTCTGGGTGCTGTTTAAATACTTTGTGGGAGTGGTATTTAGCATCTCTGGGGAGGGAATCATCCATTGGTGGGCTTTCTCTGAGGTGGAATCTGGACTGAGGCAACTCCCAGGGGAATGGACTTGGGATGGATCTTTTGTCCAAACATTTCATACTCTGGTTATATGGATGTCAGGTGCTAGGGTGAAGCCTTTACCCAAACATTTCAGGTTCTTTGGATGTATGGATACCAGGGGCTGATGTGAAGCTTCCACCCAAACATCCCAGACTCTTTGGGGTTAGGGACGCCTACTCAAGTCTGTGTACTTCCTGTGGTCTTGGCACTACATAGGGGAAAGGGAGTCGGGAATTGGTGGGCTCACACTCAGCGGGAGGTGTGCCTGTAGGGGCATCCAGTTACCTGCCATCCTGGAGACCTCAGGTATCTGTTCCTTAAGGGAAATGAGAAGGCAGATTGCTGGGAGAACAAATAGATTGTTATTATCGGCCCTATGAATATGTGGGGCCAGCCACAGCCACGGGAAACTGCCAGAACGAGTGGGATGGAGAAGCCCCTGTTACAGGAGAGGCAGGGTGAGTGAGGGAGACAGTTTTCCTTGTTTTCATTTTCTCTGTCAGTTAAAGAACACAGGAAGGAAAAAAATCCAAGGTACCACAGATCTCAGGTGGTAAGTTCTGGAAGGAAACCGAAAGGTCTGCCAGGATGAGCTGCTATCGATAGCTTTGACTAGGCGTGAGAAAACAGCTCACACACAGAGGGACTCTCTGTAGAAGCTGACTATAGGCCTCAAATTGAAGTCTGGGTTTCCTTAAGGCCTTGACAGGTCCCCCATCTGTAATGTAGGGTGGATGGACCAATAAATTACAGGGTTTCTGCTTGGCCCACAATGGTTGTGTCAACGTCTTGATGAGGCCTTGAGCTTGTTGAGCTGGTCCAGAAGCAGGGTCCCTAGGAACAGGTGAAAAGCTCTCATGGCCTTGTGTTACAGTGCCAGGCTTTTGTGCCAGGTCAGCAGGTGAGGAGAACTCCCAGACCTGTGTGTATTCCTGGGATTTTAGTAACCAGACCTGTGATAGAAAAGAAACATCAGTTTCCTCTGAGGCATATCCCTGTCATCTCTGCGTTTGTGAGGGTGTAATTCCAGGCCAGCATATACTACCCACGGCTATGACAGGCAAGATTTCAACTTTAATGATGTCATAAATACTTTATGGTGCTTTTCCTGTTTGTTACAGTGAGCACCTTGACAAATGTATGCAGTCAACACCTTTTGATATACAAACTATGTGTGCTTAACCTCTGCTGACTGAGCCAACATGTAACTTAAACAAAACCACTTCCTGCACTGTCCTTCACATGGGGCACTGCATAGCCAACAGTAAAGCAGACTGCTAATGGCGGGTCCTGCTCTTCCACAGGTCCAGTCCAGTTCCCTTGCTGACAGTCCTGTGTCTTTCCTGCCAGGCTTCTTTCACTGTGCTCTGTGTCAGTGTGAGGGAAGGAGTTACCTGTGTTTACAGCTCATGCATGACAGTGCTGGGTTAGACATGTCATCTCTGGGAAACCCTGGAGCGGAGGTGCTGGGTGATGACATTCAGTTTCTGTTGATCCATCTATATGATTATGTCAGAGGCCATGGAGAGATATTGCAAATGACTTAAACAGGATCAAACACATACAAGTAATAACCCCAAGCAGCACCAGTTTTCATTATGTTGTCAATTCAGTTCATAAAAGTGTCCTCCACGGTGTCCTCCATAGTTATTATCAAATGCAGCGACATATTTTGAGTTGAAAGGTGTGTGTGATTTCAGGACCCCCTCTTTCAATACAGGCATTCTGTTGTTCTCTCCATTCTGCAGTCTCTATATGAAATTAAGTCAGGTCTATGAGAGTGCATGGCCCCAATCTGTATTGGACATACTCCACACAGTGTTGCTTTAAGAAGACTCAGAAACAATGTATGGTCCATTAAAATCTAAAAATACACCAAGACAGATAATGTACACAGCATATTTGAAATGTATTTTTTTAAATACTTATTTATTTATTATGTATACATTATTCTTTCTGCGTGTGTGCCTGAAGGCCAGTAGAGGGCACCAGACCTCATTACAGATGGTTGTGAGCCACCATGTGGTTGCTGGGAATTGAACTCAGGACCTTTGGAAGAGCAGGCAATGTTGTTAACCGCTGAGCCATCTCTCCAGCCCTGAAATGTATTTTGAAACAAAAATTATAGTTAAATAATTCATGTTTCCAAAGCAGGTACTATATTTCTTCTCCCATTTTTTTTTTATGATTTAATCCACTTTCTAAGTAATAAAATTGCAAAACTTGGTATCTTGAAGCAAAAACTAGGGATTGTTTCATGCCATAGTTATATGATTAAAGATCTAGGAGTTGCTATTTCATGATGTCTGTGGTATGTATTTTAAGCATTGTGATATATAATCAATGGATCCACTATTTTGAATGGAGGGTCACTATTGTTTATATCCTGACCAGGAATCCCATCCTCTCTTTGCAGATCATTTTGACTTTCATCACTGTCCTCGTAGTCTTTGGTTTTTTGTCTGACTCTGACAAGTCCTCTCTGAGGGAAACCAGCAGGAGATGCAAGAGTTCTCGTCACATCTCTCTGTCCTTTCAGTTGTTCTAAGCCTTCCTCCAAGGCCAGCCTCTGTTCAAGGGCCGTTCCGTCTCCACCTCCCAGTCATGGTAAAAATGTGTAACAATTTTTAATGAGTGGCAATGTGCCTACCTTAGGCAGACATTATTTGAATTTCTTCTCTAAAGAAAATAAATTTTTCCAGTCTCAAATTTACCTGAAATGTTCGCAGTTAACTTTATTAACTAAATCCCTTCTCATGATACCCTGTTATAGTCCCACTGCCTTCCACTCACAGCGTCTCACTGGAGATTGGCCTCAGGACAGCAGACACTTGCCCTATGTAGAATGGTGGTAGCTGTGCTGGCCAATACTGGGAGTGATTCTTTTAGTTTCTTCTGCTTTGTGCACCTTCTCAGCTTCTCTCAGAGGTTAATGTTTCCATCTTCATCTTCTCTGAGCTTTTGCCTTTCTCAGTTCCTGAAAAACCATTCAGAGGCTTAATATTTATTAGAAACTGTTTGTCCAATGGCATGGGCTTATTACTGGCTACCTTTTGCATTTAAATTAACCCATTAGTCCTTATTTTACCAGAGGCTTATGACTTTTTTTTTTTTTTACCTCGCATCTTGCTTCCCTGGCAGCTAGCTACTCGTGTCTCCATAACTCCAAGCTTCTGCTCCCTGTACCTTGGCTTAGATTTCCCAGCTGGTTCTGTTCTGCCTGGCTATTGGCCAAATCTACTTCTTTATTAACCAATGGAAATAAGACATAAACAACACATTTGTTTATGGAATATTTGTCTATCTATGGAAAGATGTTTTGCATTTGTTTACCTTGCCTGCCTAAGGGACCTTATTCTTCTAATATGAAGCTAAATAGCTGATAGCTAGACAGGAGGTATATGCAGGACTTCCAGGCAGATAGAGTAAGTAAGATGAGGAATCATGGAGACAGAGACAGAGGGAATTGCCAGTGGACAGACAGACTGACAGAAGAAGCAAGAAAGTCGACATACAGAACATAGATGAATAGAAACTGGTTAAATTAAGCTATAAGAATTAGTAGAAGCTAGGCATTGTGGTGCACGACTTTAGTTCCAGCACTTGGGTGGCAGAGACAGGAGGATCTCTATGAGTTCGACAGGCTTCAAAGCTACAGAGAAACCCTGTCTTGAAAAACCTAAATAAATAAGTAACTAAATAAATAAAGGGAGCCAGGCGGTGGTGGCGCACGCCTTTAATCCCAGCACTCGGGAGGCAGAGGCAGGCGGATCTCTGTGAGTTCGAGGCCAACCTGGTCTAGAAGAGCTAGTTCCAGGACAGGAGCCAAAAAGCTACGGAGAAACCCTGTCTCGAAAATCTAAATAAATAACTAAATAAGTTATTTTGGGACAAAAATAAGCTAAAGGCCAAACTTTTATAATTAATAAGAAGTCTTGGTGTCATTACCTGGGAGCTCTTGTTGATGCACAGAAAAATCCCAACTGACCTTCCTTAACAGAGCATGCTCTGGAGCAGGGTGGTAGGAGAAAGAAGCCCCAGTAACGTTGTTCCAAATGCTGGATGTGCCTTATGTAGGGGACACAGAAGCCTGGAAGATAGTGTTTGAGGAGGTAACCATACCATAGCTGAGGAAGAGAATCCAAAGCTTAACCATGAAATTATTACAAAATTCCTTATTATTACACAAACTGCTGATATTCCCTCTATTGATAAATAGAAGAATGATGTGTGACTGTTCTCATAGATCATCCTGGGACATTACTCAAATATATGAAAAACAAAATCTAAAACTAGAAAATTTTTAAATAAGAAAATAGCATCAGCAATTATATTTCTCACCTGTCTAGTTCTCATCAGAACACGGATGCTCAGTTGTCTTATGTACAAAACCTGCTTGAGGAATACCGCAACCTGCTCCATCAGTACTCTTCAGAGAAAAGGAAGAAAGGGAAAATGACGAAAACATCAAGTGATGTGGATTTTATTTTAAATTCTCAAACAGTGTTGTTAGTCCTGTACTTGCCTATTTTCCCACATGATCGGATACTTAAATGATATTTAGTCTGTGAGTTCCTCCCCTGGCCTGCTCTTCTCATGTCCCGTGTCCCTGTCATCTGCATCATTACTGAACTCTGCAGAAATCCTGAGCCCACAGCACAGCCAGAGCTGCTGCAGCAGACTCTGTATTTTCATTCCACTTCACTGTCATGATTGTGCGTATGAACTGTTGAGAAATCCTTTCTCCCTCACCGTGACTTCTCCTGTGAGGAATACATATGTGTGTGGTGTGCAGTAGCACATGGCACTACATGCGTGTGCTGTGGGTGCATTCATTTTGCATTTTATCTGTCTCAAATAGATCATGTCCAACTGAGCTTACAGGATCTTTTTCCTTGTCTTTCCTTTTGATGGTCAGTGTGAGATCATGTGACCACTTCAGGCATGTCTGAGGAATATTACTACCTATGTAAGAACATTTCTAGCTCTCTTTCATCTTGGACCAGATCTAGATTTGTGTGCACAGACACATGATACCTGTGTTAGGGTTTCTACTGCTGTGAAAAAGACCATAATGAAAGACACCTTGGAGAAGAAAGGGTTTATTTCATATGCCTACTTCAGAAGACAGTCCATCACTGAGGGAAGAAAAGACCAGAGGCAAGAACTGGAGAACAGGCCTCAGAAGAACACTGCTTACTGACTCCCCCAGACTGCTTTCCTGTACCATAGAGAACTGTAGTCCTGCCAGGCAATGGTGTTGCATGCCTTTAAATCCAGCACTTAGGAGAAAGAGGCAGGAGGATCTCTGTGAGTTTGAGGCCACCCTGGTCTACAAGAACTAGTTCCAGGACAGACACCCAAGATACACAGAGAAACCCTGTCTCAAAAAAAAAAAAATTGTGTGCCCAGTGCAGGCAGTACAAATAATAGGCTGTGATGTCTCATATCAATCACTAGTTAAGAAAATGTCACCGTAGACATGGTCTCTTCTCAAAGTGGCTGTAGCTAGTTTCAAGTTGATAGGGTAAATATGAAGCACAATGCCTCTTGGTATTTATAAATTAATGTGCACAATCATTTAATTAAATTAATGTGCACAATCATTCACTGATCTTTATTTCAGGAAATGCTCTCTTTCTTGGATGTGGCCATCGAGTTCTCTCCAGAAGAGAGGGAATGTCTGGAGCCTGCTCAGTGGAATCTGTACAGGGATGTGATGCTGGAGAATTACAGCCACCTTGAGTTCCTGGGTGAGCATCTCCTCTATAGTGACTTCTTAGTTCACCATCAACATGTAGCTTCCTCTCTTTGTGTGGTTTCTCATGGGAGCATTTCAACAGTTTCATATCCATTGTTTTTAAAATAATTATTAATATCGCTACATTAAAAATCATTTCGGGACTGGAGAGATTAGATTGCTCAGTTGTTAAGAGCACTGACTGTTCTTCTAGAGGACCATTAAGTAGAAGGAAACTGCTCTTCCCTTCCCGGCCACCCAGACCTGAATAATCAGATAGAAACTATAATAATTACAGCACTGTTTGGCCTGTGAGCCCAGGCAGGAAATCCCACATCACCAGCACTCCTATGGCAGCTCACAATTGTTTGTAAACCCAAGGTCTGACAACCTCATGTTATGTGATGTTTTGACTGTGTTGTGTCCTGACAAATAAAGCTTGGTTAGAATCAGGGGATAGAATTAGCCACTAGCCAACCATAGAGATATGGAAGACTGTAGAGAGGGGAAACAGGATGTGGAAAGGCGGGGCTGAGACAGGAGCTCTGCCTTTTGGACGGTGGGATGGAAGAGGTAGGATGTCCCTGCTGCTTCTCTGATCATTCATTTCCTTAGCCGATATCTGACTCTGTATTTCTCATTGATAAAGATTACTAAGATAAACATATCACCCTCACATAGACATACATGAAGGTGAAACACCAGTGTATATGAAAAATTAAAATAAATTATGATTTAAAAAATAATCATTTTACGGTTTGCTTCATTCTGTGTTTGATCTTTCTCTGTTAAATTACGTTTCCTTCACTCTAGTGGGACTTTTAGGAATTTGGTGGCATGAGACATGGAGCACACTCTTTCATTGAAGTGTTTTACCATTCAGTTTTACTGTTTTCCCCTTGAAGTAAAATTCATATTTTTTATCTTTTTTCTTTTCTGTTTTTTTCCCCCCTTTGGTTTTTTGAGGCAGGGTTTCTCTCTGGTTTTAGAGCCTATCCTGGATCTAAATCTTGTAGACCAGACTGGCCTCAAATTCACAGAGATCCACCTGCCTCTGCCTCCCCAGTGCTGGCATTAAAGTCGTTAGCCTCCACCATCCGGTTCCTTCATATGTTGCAGTGATCGTGTCTGAAAACACTTAAGGAACTGATTGTCTGCAATCATTTCTCACCTCATCTCTGTCCTTACAAGTCATGTACAGGGAGGGACATGTCAATTCCATGTGCAAGAACACATAAACAAACTTCTTGTCTTATTCTATACACAGGTCTTGCTGTCCCTAAGCCACACTTGGTGACTTTTCTGGAGCAAAGACCAGATCCTGCAGATGGGAAGAGACAAGCAGCAGCCACGGTGCACCCAGGTGTGTAGGAATGAGGGGTTCAGGGGCAGAGCTGAGTGTCGCGTCCACCCTCGACCAGCAAGGAAAACGCAACACCCGGAGCTCTTCTTGCAGCAGTTTTCAGGACTTTATTCACAGCAATCTATCTCTTCTCCTTCTCTTTTTGACCTCTCTCTCTCTCTCCTCTCTCTCCCTCCTTCCTCTTTTTTTTCTCTCTCTTTCTCCTTTTCCTCTCTCTCTTTCTCCTCGGGCAAACCTCTCCCAGCCCTTAAGTAGGCATGGGCTGCCAATCCTGGATTGCCAGGTGGGCACTGCCCATGGGCCCACGCATATGCAAGCAGCTGATGATCATTGCGTGATCAGGCATAGGTCAGACTTTAGCCATAGGAGTTGATTATACATCTCCATCAGGTGTGGCTCTATGCTGCTCGCTACAGCTGAGATCCAAAGATCCGATAGAAAGTGAGGCTTTCCCATGTGCCTTGAAACATGATACCATGGGAATCATTCTTCAGGTCTCTCCTTCAGGCCTTTGTTGTCAGAGTACATGTCTCAGAGGTTTATGAGGGTTTAAGTCTCTTTGGATTTCCCAGTAACAAGCTGTGCCTCTGTTTGCAGTGATCTCCAAGGTTTTCCTTTTTGTTGAGTCTCCATTGTAATGTAAGACTCATGGAAATAGAACTTAGTCCTGCTATGACCGAGAGTCATTTATTTAGAGATGCTGAGAGCAGACTCATGACAGAAAGATCTCTACACAAAAGCAACCACAGTGGGTTAATAAAGGCAAACCCACAATTCCATCACAGAGAGGCAGGCAGAGAAAGAGGCTCAATGGTGATGGTGTCAGTTCTTTTGGTCAGAACAATTGGGAGTTGGAAGCATTGGATAAAACTCAGAGCAACCAAATGTAATTTGGACAGTCCAATTCCAACCGGTCTTAGGGAAGAGTCAAAGTATTCACACATTGTGTAAAGGGGATTTATTTGGCCATTAGGGACATTAATTTAACATTGCCTGTTTGCCTTTTTTTTTTTTAAACAACTTTACCACCAGTTGATTCAGCAGGTCCTGACCATTAGATGTGGAAAGAGTAGGACAGGATGATCTGCAAGGCCTTGGACTGTTGATTCAGAGATGCCCATCCAATCGGCTATGGGGACAGTGTTTGTGTCCTTCTCGTTAATGGCAGTTAGTAGATTTAGGCCTATTAGTAAGCTATAAGGCTTCATTTGTTTTTCTCTTTCAAGTTAATCTCTTTATCATGTACAAAGATGTTATTTGGATATATACCCAGTCACAACTTGTTAAAGAAATCATAAACTTTTATACGTGAATCTGTTTTTTCCAGATACATCAGTACTAGTAATATATTTTATTTCAGATACATTCAGGGTATGCACTGTGGCTAGATCTAGAGGAAACATTATGGCTAATATTACCATGAGTCCAATTGAACTAAAAGATCTTGTGGTCACTTCTTCTTCAGGTCTCCTGTTGGTTCTCAAATGTCCTTAGTGTATATTTTCATTAGCTTCTGTGTTTTAATGGGATCATGACTGATGAATTTAGGCAATGTTTTTCATCAGCAACTCGATGGATTAGGCCTCTGCGGCCAGCTGCTCCCCAATAACCACACAGAGACTTTATATTAATTGTAAGTGCTCAACTGACAGCTCATGCTTCTGAGAAATTAGGTTTGCATTTTAAATTAACCCATATGTCTTATTTACACTCTGCCACGTGGCAGGACCTTTTCTTCATACAGCATGTTTATTGCTGGCTTCTCAGAATCCTGGCCCCTGCTCTGACTCTGGCTTGCTAATGCCAGGATTTGGTCAGTCCGCAAAGTCCTGCCTAGCTATAGACCAATCAGCTTTTTATTAACAATAAAACAACACATCTTCACAGTGTACAGAAACATTATTCCATAGCATTTTCCACATGGAAAATATATAACAAATATATAACAAAAGTATACATATGAAAATAGCCTCTCATGTTCTTGGAAATAAAAACATAACCTCTCTCCCAAAGTAACAAACTTCTGTTTTCCTTTTAAAGTCAAGACATGTGAAAACTACATCGGTTGCTTTAATCCAGCAGTTTTCTCAATCCAGTCAGTCTTAGCAGCTCTCATTCTTTCATTAGCAGTCAGAAAATCTACAGACAACACAGTAACACATGGATTCCAGACACTGTGTATTTTACTTCTTTGTGTGTCTTTTTTCTTTTATATTTATTCCCTTTTTAAGGACTTTTACTTTATTTTAAAAGTATGTATATATTTATTGTAACTGTCTACCATTTTTTTCTTTCATGAGACTTTGCACATTTTTATTTTTTTATTTTTTTTATTTTTATTTTTTTTGAGACAGGGTTTCTCTGTGGCTTTGGAGCCTGTCCTGGAACTAGCTCTGTAGACCAGGCTGGTCTCGAACTCACAGAGATCCACCTGGTTCTGCCTCCCGAGTGCTGGGATTAAAGGCGTGCGCCACCATCGCCTGGCGACTTTGCACATTTTTAAACACACTGTACCCATTACAGATTTTTTTTCTATCTAAATCTATTTTCCTGAGCATCTGTAACCTTTTCTGTCCACATGAGCAAAACCCTAAACCTGCCACCCACTGAAGTGGTGGAGCTCAAGTCGGTGGCTCAAATCTTTAGGCAGCCACCAAGGGGAGCATCTCTGTACTACAGGCCGCATGAAAGACAATACCAGGAAGGTGCATTGGTAGGGTTTTTCTGAGGTTCCTATTTGGAGTTCTGACCAGAACATTTTTTTAAAAAGTACACCATTTCACTAACCAAGTTGGAACCATCTTGAGCAGCCGGTACCCAAAACAGATCTTTTAGTAGCATCATGGTGTCATATCAACCAGGTGGAGTTATTGTTGTGGGGCCCCATGTTCTTCTTGAAAACCTCAAAGATTACTGCAGGTAAATTCATTGTTCATTGTGGAAAACTTAAATATTATTTATATAGACATATGTAGACATATATATTCAGTGAAAAGTACGATAGAGACAAAAATAGGTATGAAGAAAACTAAAATTTTTTCTAAATTTTTTCTTTCTGTCCCATATCATGGCTCCTGTCATAAGACAGAAACTCTGAATTTTTATTTTAACAACATGCTAAGATTTAGAGAAGGACAGAGCCAGTATCCAACTCCAAAGCCAGCTTTGAATTTTTAAGTGAATCATGATTATTATCTTAGTTTATGTTTTGAGATTCTTACCCTCAGATGACATGTCCTCATAAGTCATAATTCTCTCTGCTTGATGAGCCTATCTGGGGAATTATATTTTCCTCTTTAGGCATCTAGATGTTGAGGGTCTCTTTACCTTTTAAAGATGAGTATTTTCCTGCAAAGACAAGAACAGAACCCTGCCCCAAACCTCATGAAGTTTCCTTACCACCTGTATGGCTGTCACCATTTTGGATGAGCTATCATTTCTCTTTTTTAAGAGGTCGTTCCATTTCAAAGTGAATCTTTATTAATTTCAATGGTATCCATAGTTTTTCTTCTCCTGTGGAAACAAGAGCGAAACCCCTTCCCCAACATAGCACATCCCCTGGTTTCCATTGTGAAGTCAACACATCCTTAATATACACCAGCTGATTTAATTCAGAAGACTTTTCTATTATCCAATATCTCTCTGCTACTGTTGTCCCTTTCTCATTAGCGTTAAGAAAATTTAAGCTTAGTAAAGCATTATGCAATCTATTTCTGGGGCTATTTTCCATCCCTTTCTGTTGGTTTAACATATCCTTTATATTTCGATTTGGTCTTTCTATAACTGCCTGACCTGTAGGATTGTGTGATATGCCTATAATATGCTTAATATCATGATGAGCAAAAAACTGTTTCGTTTTCTTAGAGACATATGCTGGACCATCATCTGTATGGGTATACCCATGATGGCCATAACTTCTAATAAATGTGTGATTACTGAATCAGCCTTTTCTGAGCTTAAAGCAGTTGCCCATTGAAAACCTGAATAGGTCACGCCCAAGAGGGTGGGTAACTTGAAGGCTACTGGTGGTAGGAACACAGCAGGGTGGGCCAGGTTTGATTGCCATTTGTAGGTGGAGTTTTCTGTTCCAAGAGATACTCCAGAATAACCAAACCAGGGGCTTTTTATTGGTTGTAAATAGTCAGTAGCTTGGGTTCATTTTTTTTTAAATATTTATTTATTATGCATACAATATTCTTTCTGTGTATATGCTTGCAGGCCAGAAGAGGGCACCAGACCTCATTACAGATGGTTGTGAGCCACCATGTGGTTGCTGGGAATTGAACTCAGGACCTTTGGAAGATCAGGCAATGCTCTTAACCACTGAGCCATCTCTCCAGCCCCCAGCTTGGGTTCGTTTTTAAGTAGCTCTTACTCTGTAAATAAAACCATTGTTCTTATCTACCCTCTGTCGCCTGGCGGTTCCTTCTTTTAACACAGTATGTTCATCTTTTTTCTGTCTGTGTCTGCCAACTGTGGAGGCCCATAAACGTGCACTTTTATCCACCTTGCCTGAAGGTCATAGAGTTTTAACTTGTTCAGCGTTGTTGAGAACAAGTGTGGCCACACATCCTGACCTAGGGTGTGGTCACTTGGTGTTTTTGATATTAAGATGGTCCATACAGGTAGACATACTCCAACCCGACCAATGTTCAGGATATTGAAGCATTCGTCTGTTCCTTCTTTTGAAATAAGAGGTTTGTCCTTGTGAGTAACTGTCTTCTGGATACTTGGTCTTGGGTGGGCTTACTGCCTAAAGAACAGAATGCTTAAGTCTTGATGCCTCAAAGTAATGAAATAAAAACTATTCTATTTGCCCTGTGTATCCGTTTTCCTCTCTCCCTGTGGTATTGGGGAATAAACGTGGATGGAAAATTAAACACAGGCTGATTTCAGTATTTACTGGAACTCTCCCCTGGGTACCAGCCTATGTTTTCTGTTGTATTATTTTCATTCGTGTCTTCCTTCCCTTTACTTATTTTCCAGTTCCTGTGCCCATACCCTGGTAGGTGGTATACTACTTGAAGCTGGTTTCTGACAGCTGGCCACTCCTCTCACTATTCCCTTCTTCCCAGTATTTTCTTTGCCCAGAAAATCTTACCTAACCATCAGTCAATCTGCTTTTATTAACAATGGGAGTACTACATATTCATATTGTACAAAACAGTGTTTCACAGCTGAAGAGCTGGTCCAGATGACTCTGGCAGGTAACTCGACGGCTGCTCTGGGTGAGCTTTCACAGTCCACCTCGCCTCCTCCTCAGGCTGTGTTGTTTTCATTACCTGATGTGGTGGGTCCTCACTTGGCACATGAAACTTAGTTAAACTTAGCTTAACTTTGAATACTGGATAATGGAATTTAGAAATTTTTCTCTCCCTCCATGATAGTGTTTGAGGCCAGCCTGGTCTCAATAATTCGTTCAAGTTCAGCAAGGTCTACACCGAAAAAACCTTGGCTTCAGGGAAAAAACAAAAAACAAACAAAAATGAAAGAAGTAATTTTGCCATCTCTTTGATAAATATATTGTCTATGCAAAATTTATATGATATGCAGAAGAACCTAAAATATTTTTTTGTTTTTGGTTTTTTTCATGATTCGACATGTTTCAAGCATGTATTTTTCTGTCATTCAAATAAAACGTAAAATAATGTCCTGAATTTGAACTATAAATTTCATCTTTATGTAGACTGTCTACTTGTGTAGCATATCTTTGGTACTCCCAAAATAAAGCTATATGTGCAGGATAAAACATTTGTATTAGATCATATCTAATATTGTATTAGATGATATCTCAAATTCACAAAGTCAAAATTACCTTTGTTTTTCACAGACTCAGCTGCTTTCTAATTTCCTGGGTATCCTGTGATACAAAATCTCTATTAATTTAATGGGTTTACTTCTGCTAGTAAAGTGCCCTTGCAACTTACTTAGCTACTTAACTTTGAATTATTTGCCATTATGTCTATGTTCTATTTGGATGTTCTCTTATTCTAGTATAGGTCATTTCTACCTACAATATTTTATCATTTATTCTTATTTATATTGTATATGTTTTGAAATGACTGTAGTTTTTCACTGATGCTTCAATATATACAAAAAAGTTTGTTTTTTTTTTAAAAAGATAAGCATTGTAAGTATGAAGAATATTTTCTAACCTTCGTTTCATATCTCAACTTTTGATGAACAGGAACAAAACCCAATGATCACAGCAGTTACAACAAGGCCATTGATTGTAACTCACTACAGATTCAATGTCAGAGAATTCATACAAGGGAGAAACCTTACAAGTGTGAAGAATGTGGTAAGGGCCTTAGTTCTTATAAAACACTTTCTATACACCAGAGACTTCACACTGGAGAAAAACCCTACCCCTGCAAAGAATGTCACAAGGCCTTCAATACTCGCTCATCCCTTTTTATACACCAGAAAAGTCATACTAATGAGAAATCCTACAAGTGTGAAGACTGTGGCAGATCATTTTATTATTCTTCAATGCTTAAGCAACATCAAAGGATTCATTTGAGAGATAGCCAACACAAGTGCAAAGAATGTGGCAAGTGTTTTTTCTCATTGTCATGCCTTAGACAACATCAAGCAAGATATACTAGAAAGAAATCATACAAGTGTGAAGAGTGTGGCAAATGTTTTTACTCCCTTTCATCCCTTCGGCAACATCAAGCAATTCATTCTGAAGACAGTCCCTATAAGTGTGCAGAGTGTGGCAAAACTCTTTCCAGTTTTAAATTACTACAAAAACATCAGATAGTTCATACTGGAAAGAAATCATACAAGTGTGAGAAGTGTGCCAAATGTTTTTACTCCCGTTCATCCCTTCGGCGACATAAAGCAATTCATTCTGAAGACAGTCCCTTTAAGTGTGCAGAGTGTGGCAAAACGTTCTCCAGTTTTACATACTTTCAAGATCATCAGACAATTCATACTGGAAAGAAATCATACAAGTGTGAAGAGTGTGGCAAATGTTTTTATTTATCCTCGTCCCTTCGGCGACATAAAGCAATTCATTCTGAAGACAGTCCCTTTAAGTGTGCAAAGTGTGGCAAAACATTCTCCAGTTTTACATACTTTCAAGATCATCAGACAATTCATACTGGAAAGAAATCATACATGTGTGAAGAGTGTGGCAGATGTTTCCACTTATCTTCATCCCTTCGGCGACATCAAACAATTCACTGTGAAGACAATCCCTACAATTGTGAGGACTGTGGCAGAAGGTTTAAGTCTTCTTTATTCCTTAAACAACATCAAACCATCTATTCAGCAGACAGTCCTTCTGCCCCTGTACATTGTAGCAAATGGTTTTCCTATTCTGGGGATCTTCAGGATCACCAAATAGTTCATACTGGAGAGAAACCCTTCAAGTGTGAAGAATGTCACAAGGCCTTTCAATGTCCCTTATCCCTTAGTAGACACAAGAGAGTTCATACTAGAGAGAAACCCTACAAGTGTGAAGAATGTCACCAAGCCTTTCTTTGTCCCTCATCCCTTAGTAGACACAAGAGAGTTCATACTGGAGAGAATCCCTACAAGTGTGAAGAATGTCACAAAGCCTTTCGTTATCACTCATCCCTTAAGGCACACAGGAGAGTTCACACTGGAGAGAAACCCTTCAAGTGTGAAGAGTGTCACAAAGCCTTTAATTGTCCCTCAGCTTTTAGGACACACAAGAGAGTTCACACTGGAGAGAAACCCTATAAGTGTGAAGAATGTGGCAGGTGCTTTTCCTCATCTTCAAACCTTAGACGACATAAAAAAGGAAAAATTCATTCTGAAGAGACCCCATAAAATTGTGGGGAATGTTGTAATTCTTAATATCATTATTCAACATGATATATTTAACACCAGAGAGAAATCCAACAAATGTCTTTAAAAGTTTTCATCCTCAAACTTTAAAACACATCATATGATTCATTCTGACTGCAAATGTCATGTGTGATGTAGGATTCCCCTCTGTAAGCTGTGAATATGTCTTATTACCATTGGTTAATAAAGAAGCTGCATCAGCCAATAGCTTTGCAGAGTAAAGTCAGGCAGGAAATACAAACAGAGATAAAGAGAGAGAGTAGGAAGAGTCAGAGAGATGCCATGTAGTTGTCAAAGGAGACAGATGCCAGAACCTACTGCTAAACCACAGTCTCAGGGAGATACTCAGATTAATAGAAATGGGTTAATTTAAGATGTAAGAGTTACTTAATAAGAAGCTTGAGCTAATTGGCAATGGAGTGTTTTAATTAATATGGTTTCTGTGTGATTATATGGGTCTGGGAGGCCAGGAATCATAACAGTCTCCAGTTACACATGAGTGTGTGAAGTATTGCAAAAATCGTTCTCAAAAAGTCAGGTAACCCAACCTAGGAACTTCTACTTCTATCTCTACCTCACTGTGATGGGGTTCTGAGCTAGCTTGCAATAAAAACCTTGCTTTTTGCAGTCTGTATTTCTCTGATTTCTGGTGGTTTCTCTGGGGGTCATGATCTCTGGGCGGCACAACAGTATGCACACCATTTGCTCAGGAAAATGTTTTTCCAGATGCCTTGGTGATCCTTCCCCACATGTGTGGAGACCCCAAGAAGCCAAAGGTCAGAGAGTTTGGGTCTTGTTTCTAGGTCATTCTACATTATTGTGTTGCTACCTCAAACAAAGGTCCCACCTAGTTGTAAATCAGAGAGTTCTTCTCTCTCAAGGCTGTTGTCAACAGGTCTGGCTAATTGCCAGACCTTGTGCTCCTGTAACAGTGAAGTAGTTTGTTCCGAAGGTCCCACCAAGTTCCATTCTCTTTATGGAAATAACTTGCGATTCTACCCAGGTAGTGGTTTGGTCTTGTGTGTGAGCCTGATGAATATAGCCCCTGACTTTCAATTACTATGTTCATTTCCTTATATCAGGTTAATGCAGACTTTTGCCTTACTCCTGCCTTGGGGGGCCAGGGGTATATCAAGCAGTTGTAAGTTAAACATAGGCAAATTTTCAGTACTCACTGAAAAATTCCCTCCCGATACTATACTACATGTTTCTGCGTTTTATTATTTTCATTCACATCCTCATATTCTTTACTGTATTTCTGAATTCCCATGCCTCCTACCCTGGAGAAAGGTATTTTTCTCAAGGCTGGCCCCCGACACAGATAATATCTTATTGAATTTTTTGCTTCTGTGAGGACCTGACTTTGCAAACTCAGTTTTAAAGGAGCTTCATCTTAAGCCGTGTAACGAACGGCCCCAGAAATGTGCTGCGAGAGCAGAATTTGAACAGATACCCGGGAAATAGCTAACTACGGAGCAGGGAGCACGGCTATTAAATTTAAAGAGGTCCCGGTGTTCCTTGGAGGCATCCTGTCCCTGAAACCTCGTCAGTTATTAGTGGTCCTTGGTTAGGGTTTTCACGCCCCAAAACTGACCAATGGTTTCAGAAGCTACCTTACCCTGTGCCCTCCTTGGCCAATCCCTAGACGACAGGATATGAGCTCCTCTGATTTTGTCATTTCCTCTTTAAACATTTTTTTTTTTTCTTCCCTGGGCTCCAAGCTGCACTTAGCCTCACACACTCCTTTGATGTGGTGGAAATGAAGTCCAAGCTCGACATTGAATATTAAAAATCTCTTGTTTTTTGCATCGGAATCAGGTACCGTGGAGTTACATGTTGGGAAATGATTAATGTGGGGATAGCACTTCTTTTTGTTTTATTTAGTTTAGTTTCGTGTATAATTTCATACCTCATAGAGGCCATTTGTGCTTCGCGCAGATTTCTGGGAAATGTAGTCGCCGCGTCTGTGACGTCACAAAAAGCCAGGCAATCTCATTCCTGCTTCGGTGTCCACGTGTGCGTCTTCCTCAAGAGGCCCGTCTGTTGCGCATTCCGGTTGCATCTCTGACATGGAGGTTGGTCCAGGGTGCAGCGCAGCCTGAGGCACTGTGCGTGGTGCGGGGCCGTCTTGGAGGGAGCGGTCCTGGGCTGGGTGGGAGGACGGGAGAAGCTGCCTTGGAGGTGCTATGCTGAGGTGCAACCTGAGGTTGCAGGTCAGGGCTGGGGAGAGGAAATAGGGACCGTGCTTTGGGTGATGGTTTTCTTAGGACGCCCGTGCAGCCCGAGACCGCCTTGGGCTTCTGCTTGGTAGCGCGGAGTAGTGCGAGGTCCAGGAGGTCCAGGATTGCAAGCTAAGGATGTTCAGCTGACTGCCTGCTCCTGAGGGAGAGCTGGGAGTTCACTGAGCCGCTATGGTGGGGAGGCATGCATCACTAGCTGACCCATTCTCCTATGGATGCTATGAGATTTCTCAGTATCTTTTATATATGGTTTTTCGAGACAGGGTTTCTCTGTAGCTTCGGAGCCTATCCTGGAGCTATCTCTTGTAGACCAGGCTGGCTTCGAACTCACCAAGATCCACCTGCTTCTGCCTTCCGAGTGCTGGGATTAAAGAAGTGTACCACCACCGCCCATCTGAGATTTCTCAGTATCTTTCGAACAGTCGTGGTTTCTGATCTTTCCTTTACTTTGTAACTGGCCTAAATGTATGGTCTTGAGGTTTATGAAAAGTTTTTATTCTCCAATAAGCCTCTCTGCCTATGCAATAATCTGAATCAGACCAAATCAAACCAAATTAGGCAAAGCCCAGGTTTAATGTATACCAATGCTCCCTGATGGATTTCCAGCCCCCCAAAGAGAGGAGATAGGGAAGAACCACTGGAAAACCATGTGTTTGTCCTCTAGGGTGCTGTTTAAATACTATGTGGATGTGGTATTGAGCATCTCTGGGGAGGGGTCATCGTTTGCTGTGCTTTCTCGGAGGCGGAGTCTGAACTGAGGCAACTTCCACAGGAGGGGGTTTGGGATGGATCTTCCACCCAAACATTCCAGACTCTGACTATATGAATGCCAGGGGCTGAGGTGAAGCCTTAACTGAAATATTCCAGATATATGGATGCCAGGGGCTGAGATGGAAGTTCCACCCAAGCATCCCAGACTCTTTGGTATAGGGATGCTGACTAAAATCTGTCTTCTTCCTTTAGGCATTGGTTGAATAGGGGAGAGGAGAGTCAGGAGTTGGTGGGCTCACACTCAGCTAGAGGTGTGGCTGGAGAGGCATCTGGTTCACTGCCATCCTGGAGACCTTAGACATCTGTCTGTTAAAGGAGATGGGAAGGCAGGTTGCTAGGAGAAAAAAAAATAGATTGTTGTTATCGACCCTATGATTGGGGCCTGCCACGGGAAACTGCCAGGAGAGGGATGGAGAAGCCCTGGCACAGGAGAGGCAGGGTGAGTGAGGGAGACAGTTACCTTGTATTCATTTGCTCTGATGGCTAAAGAACTAAGAAAGGAAAAATATCTGAGGGGCCTCAGGTCTCTGGCAGTAAATTCTGGAATGAAGCAGCAAGGTCTGCCAGGACCAGCTGCTATAGAAAGCTGTGGCTAGGGTGGAGAGAACACACGTACAGCCCACACACAGAGGGCCCTCTGCAGGAAGAAGGAACTGGAGACCCTGACTCCAGGCTGCACATTGAGGTCTGGGTTCCCTTAAAGCCTTGAAAGCTCCCCCATCCCTAATGTAGGGCGGACTAACTGTGAAAACGACAGGATGTCTGCTTGGCCCACAATGGTTGTGTCAACGTCTTGATGTGGCCTTGAGCTTGTTGAGCTGGTCCAGAAGCAGGGTCCCTAGGAACAGGTGAAAAGCCCTCATGGCCTTGTGTTACAGTGCCAGGCTTTTGTGTCAGGTTAGCAGGTGAGGAGAACTCCCAGACCTGTGTGTATTCCTGGGATTTTAGTAACCAGACCTGTGATAGAAAAGAAACGTCAGTCTCCTCTGAGGCACATCCCTGTCATCTCTGCGTTTGTGAGGGGGAGGCAGGGCCCTCTGGTCCTCCCCTGCTTCATAGCAAATTCCAGGCCAGCCTATTCTACCTGAGTCTGACAGCATTTCAACTTTAATGATGTGATAAATACTTTCTATGGTGCTTTTCATGTTTCTTACAGTGAGCACTTTAACAAATTCATGCAGTCAACACTTTGTTGATTTGCAAACTATGTGCTGCTGCTGGGATGTCTTCCCCTGTCCTTCCAGCAGAGGTTCCTCTGTGAGCAGATGCTTCTTACAGTTAGCCAGAACAAAACCACTTCCTGCACTGTCCTTCACATGGGGCACTGCATAGCCAACGGTAAAGCAAACTGCTAACGGTGGGTCCTGCTCTTCCATAGGTCCAGTCCAGTTCCCTTGCTGACGGTCCTGTGTCTTTCCTCCCAGGCTTCTTTGTCTGAACTCTAATGTCAGTGTTTTGCTTTAAGAAGACTCAGAAACAATGTATGGACTATTAATATCCTCAAATACATCTAGACAGCTAACATACACAGCAAAACATGTGATAGTTATTTTGAAACAAAGTTTCAGTATATAATTCATGTTTCCAAAGCAGGTACTATATTTCTTCCATACTTTTCATGGTTTAATTCACTTTCTGAGTCATAAAATTGCGAGCTTGGTGCCTTGAAGCAAAAGCTAATGATTTTTTTCTTGCCACAGTTATGGAACAAAGCCCTGGAACAAAGACCTAGGAGTTACTATTTCATGGTGTCTGTGGTACATGTTTTAAGCACTATGCTTTGTTATCCGTAGGTTGCTTACTTTGAAAGGAGGGTCTCTAATTTTTAGATCCTGACCTTCAATCTCATCATTTCTTTGAACCTCATTTTGAGTTCCCACCAATCCCACCTAGTCTTCAGTTTTGTCTGTCTCTCTGAAAGCTGTTTCTGAGGGACACCAAGAGGAAATGCAAGAATTCTTATTGTATATACTCTGTCCATTTTGTTGCTCTAGGCTTGCTTCTAGGACCAGCCTCCACTACTCCTGAACTGTCAATCAAGTCTCCTTTGTTTACCTTTCTTCCTGACCATTATCCATAACAACTTGTAATCAACACTCTAAACAAAGGCAAGCATCCATAATCCATTTTTTGGGGAATGTGGGCATAGTTTTCTAGGCTACTCCCTGCTGCTTCAGGGTGCTGGTAATCTTATGGGGACCTAAAGAAAATTTAGATTTATGGTCATTTCTTGACTGGAATATTCTGTGAAGCTTGATCTTATCAGCCAGCAGTCTTGAGGTTATTCAGAATGTAGAACTCATATTTCTAGGGCTCTTGCTCCTCTCGGACATTTCCCAGGGGGTCTTCCTTGATCATACCAGATTTTTCTTAACCTGGAATGAATCCACAGCCTCTCATTTCCTGTGGAAACAAAAACAAAACCTCTTCTCCAAAGTAACATATCTTTTGACTAATGTATGTGAGTTCGAGGCCAGCCTAGTCTACAAGAGCTAGTTCCAGGACAGGAACCAAAAGCTACAGAGAAACCCTGTCTCGAAAAATCAAAAAAAAAAATTGAAGTCAAAGCATTTTCAAAATATATATGTTGTATTAATCCATCAGCATTTGTAATCAAATGTCTTTTAGCATCTGTAGCTCCCTCCTCAGCCATCAAACAATTCAAAGACAACACAATAACATACAGTATCCAGACTCTCTGTGTGGTTTTCATTTTTACGTGACTATATTTTAAATTCTATTTCTTTTATATTTTTAATTTTTTTTTTTGAGACTAGATTTCTCTGTGTTTCTTTGGCTGTCCTGGCTCTCACTCTATAGACTAGGCTATCCTTGACCTCACAGAGATCTGCCTGCCTCTGTTTCCCCAATTTTGTGATTAAAGCTGTGTGCCACCATGCCTTGAACTTGCAGAGATTTGCCTGCCTCTGCCTCCCAGGTATTGGGATTAAAGGTGTGTGCCACCACACCCAACTACTCTCTTTCTTTTTTTCATGATTTTCTCCTTTTTCTTTTCAATCCCAAGCCCTCTTATATATTTAAACAGACTCCAAACCATTTAGAGGTTTTTTTTTTTTTAAATCTGAATCTATCTTTTATACTATATCTTTTTCTGACCACATGAGTCTTTAATTCGCTTAGTGATATGACTAGGATTAAAGCCATGCTTTTGATGGCTGAATCCAGCCCATTCCTTAGCTTTTCTTAGAGTGTCCATCCTCGTGGCGAAGGTAATAGCTAGAGCCATGTTTATTGCCACAACTCTATGGAGTTTCAAGGGCCATGCCACCACCAAGAAGCATGCTACTCACAAACACCATTTAAGTGTTTGGTGGTAGGTCCTCTTAAAACAGCTGCAAGCTTTTTGCAGCTAAAGCTGAGTCAGGAATCCTCTCTTAATGAGTTGTGTTTACCTCTAGCTAACAGCCCACCCAAGAAAATGCTGCTACCAAAAAGCCGGGCTTAACTCTGTCCTTTTGTTTCTAGAATTACTTCCCAAACTCTCTCAGATTTTAAGTGGATATAGCTGTTCCTATTGGTGGCGAAAAATACAGGCTGAATATGCTAGTCATTGAGATTGGGAAGAAATAATGAAGCAGTATCAGGAGAAAACTATCTTGATCTGGTTAATAAAGTAAGAACTTTAAGAAGGTTTATTAAATTACTAGAAGAAATAATGACGTATAATTACAAGTTATACCAATAGTTTAGGAGGTGTTTGACATTGCAATGCAAATTATACTTTGACAACTTATTATCTCAACAGGCTTATTGTGGAAAAATGAATCTCGACCACACGAATGAACTCTTAGTAATACCAGTTCAGCCTGGAGAAGGAAATAAAGCTTCCTTCAATGACATGCATGCTTTGTCCAGCAGTGAGCACTCTTTCCCATAGCACTTCCCCAGGTTTTGTTTTTGTTTGCCAGTCTTAAATTGCCTGAAATGTTTGCTGTTAATCTTATCGGCTAAAACCCCTCCTCATGATACCCTGTTACAGGCACACTGCCCTCCACTCACAGCGTCTCACAGGATTGGCCGCAAGATAGCAGACACTTGCCCATGTAGAATGATGGTAGCTGGGCTGGCCAATATGGGCAGTGATCCTCACAGTTACTTCTGCTTTGGGGACTTGCTCAGGTTCTCTCAGAGGTTAATGTTTCCATCTTTATCTTCTCTGGGCTCTTGCCTTTCTCCATGCTGGTAATTTATGCCTCTTCTTGGTGACCCCTTAGTTCACTTGCCTCACCTTTCCTAATGCTGTGACCCTTCAATACAGTTCCTCATATTGTGATGACCCCTAACCATAAAATTATTTTCTTTGCTACATCATATCTGTGATTTTACCAAAGTTATTTGTTGTAAATACTTTTTTAGTTGAAGGTTTCTCCAAGGGGTCATGACCCTCATGTGAGGAACTAGTGACCTGGTTAATAAAAGCATAGGATCTATTTATTTTCACTTCTAAAGGTGGTAACATTCTATACAAGCTACAAAGAAGCTTTCAAAACAGTTCTGTTTGTTTTTTCATGAGAAATTACTGGGTGTTCTGTTCACCAAATTGCTTCATTTTGCCTGTTTCTTCAAGATTTGGTGGCTCCCTCATTGATGCTCAACTCTGAACTTTATTTAAAGACATTTTTCTATGTAGTCATTCTGAGTCTTTGCAAAAATTTATTATTTATTCATTTACTTATTTATTATGTATACAGTGTTCTGCCTGCACGTATGCCTGCAGGCCAGAGAGGGCACTGAAATGCATTTCCAATGGTTGTGAGCCACCACATGGTTAGAGGGAATTGAACTCAGTTCTCTGGGAAAGCAGCCAGCACTCTTAATGTCTAAGCCATCTCCCCAGCCCCCATGTAGTCATTCTTTACTGCAGATATATTTCAGTTGTCCTGAAAGTCTTGTGATGATAAAGCTACTGCCCCCTCCCAATGCTGAAAACGCCACGCCTTTCAGACACAAGACTCAGGAAATTGGAGCTGGTACTGGCCTGAAGGTCTTCTGCCTAAGGGTGAATTTTCTTACTGCCGGAAGGTGCTTTGTGAGCTCCAAGGCAGAGAAGCAATAAATAGCCCTGCTTAGCTGTTATTCCCATGAACCACACCCATGAGCAGTATGACATTAAATCCCTAAAGTTGCCCCAGTGCCTCCCACATCTCGGCATTAGCAGCAGTTGTCTCTGATGACTTCTTAGTTCTTAAGTTACAGAGGAGAGCATACTGGAGCCATCACAGTTGCTAACTGCATTCCAGATGCTTTTCCTAGACCTACACTGAAGTGTAGCTGTTACTGCCTGTTAAAGACACTGCTCACTGCAGCACAGAGAGCATTACAGAAAACTAAAATGTACAAATCCAGAGAACTATTGTTTTGTGATGCCCTGACCCAGTAGATACACCACACCACAATTCCTGTGCAGAAGGCTCAGGGAATATATCTGGAGAGGGTCCATATTGATCATGAGAGCCAGGGTCCAGGAAGTCTGTCGTGAGGTTGTGCCTTCCAGAAAGGGAAGGGAAGCTGCACCCATGACACCCCGACAGTATGACTGCTTGAACAAGCCCTGAACAATGGCAGTGGCACAAGATCGCCTGCGGGGGTGGGGGGGTGGGGGCAGTCTGCTGGGTAACAGAAGTATAGGCACATAAGGACTGCTAAGAGAGGAGAATTAGTCTTCCACAGGGATGAGCCCACTCACTCTTCATCCAGTAACAAGTGATAAGTCCCCCAAATATACACAAAGGTAACACTGAACATTCATATTTATATAGTAGGTACGTACAGTGTGGATATCTACAGTTATGGGCTGTGTGTAACAATAATAATAGAGAAAATGAACCAAGTATCTGAGACAGATTATTGGGGTACATGAGAGAAGTTGCAATGAGGTGATACATGGTTAAATGATATATTTCAATTCAGAAATGCATATATGTGTAGTATGTAGTAACACATGGCAATAAATGCATGTTCTGTGGATGCATTCATTTTACATGTCTTTCTCAAATGTATCGTGTCCAACTGGGGCTATGGGTTGTTTACCTTGTCTTTACTATCGATGTTCAGTATGAGCTCATGTGACCACTTCAGGCATGTCTGAGGATATTACTACCTGTGTAAGAACATTTCTAGCTCTCTTTCATCCTGGACAAATCCGTGGTGCCTGTCTGAGGGTTCCTATTGTGCTAAAGCCCGAGATGAGAGACAGCTTGGAGAAGAAAAGGTTATTTTAGACTCCAACTCCACGTCCATCACTGAGAGAATTCAAGGCAGGAACCTGAGGTGTGAGGTGGAGAACAGGCCACAGAAGAACACTGCTTACTGACTCCCCGAGACTGCTTTCCTGTACCATGTAGAACTGCGTGCCCAGTGCAGGCATCACCATAGTGGGCAGTGCTGTCTCATAGGAGTCACTAGTTCAGAAAATGCCCCTAGACTTGGCTACAGGGCAGTCTTGGTAGGAATATTTTCAATTATTTTTCTCTTTGCAAATTGGCCCTAGCTAGGTTCAGTTCATAGGATAACTATCAAGCTCAATGCAAATTGGTATTTAAATTACTAATGGTTTTAATTAAATTAATGTATCATTCACTGATCTTTATTTCAGGAAATGTTGTCCTTCTCAGATGTGGCCATTGAGTTCTCTCCAGAAGAGAGAGAATGTCTGGAGCCTGCTCAGTGGAATCTGTACAGGGATGTGATGTTGGAGAATTACAGCCACCTTGAGTTCCTGGGTGAGCATCTCCTCTATAGTGACTTCTTAGTTCACCATCAACATGTAGCTTCCTCACTTTGTGTGGTTTCTCATGGGAGCATTTCAACAGTCAGTTTCATATCCTTCGTTTTCAAAAATATTAAGGACATCGCTATGTTAAATATTATTTCAGGGCTGAAGTGATGACTCAGTTGTTAAGAACATTGACTGCTCTTCTAGAAGATCGTTAAGTAAAAGGAAACTGCACTTTCCTTCCTGCCGCTCAGATGTGAATAATCAGATAGAAACTATATTAATTACAGCACTGTTTGCCCTGTGAGCCCAGGCAGGAAATACCACATCACCGGCACTCCTATGACAGTTCACAACTGTTTGTAAACCCAAGGTCTGACAACCTCCTGCTGTGTGATGTTTTAATTGTGTTGTATCCTGACAAATAAAGCTTGATTGGAGTCAGAGGGTAGAACTAGCCACCAGTTGACCATAGAGATATGGAAGACTGTAGAGAGGGGAACAGGACATGGAAAGCTGGGCTGAGATAGGATCTCTGCCCTTTGGATGGTGGGATGGAAGAGGTCGGACGTCACTGGTACTTTTATGATCTTTCAGTTTCTTAGCCGATATCTGACTCCTGATGATTTATTGATGAAGATTAATTAAACAAATCAACCTCATACAGACATACATCCAGAGAAAAAACCAATGCATATGAAAAATTAAAATAAATAATGAAAACAGGAAGATTGCTTACACTGTTTACTTCTTTCTGTGTTTAACCTCTCCGAGATGGGTGTGTCTTTCCCTGACTCTAGAGGGACTTTTAGAAATTCAGTGGCGTGAGAGGTGGAGCTTACTTTTTATGTGAACTGTGTTACAATTCTAAGTTACTGTTTTTTTCCCCTGAAACGAAACTCAGACCCTGGGTGCTGTTGGCTCCTTCACATGTAGCAGTGATCCTGTCTGAAAACACTTAAGGAACTGATTGTCTGCAATCATTTGTCACCTCATCTCTGTCCTTACAAGTCATGTACAAGAAGGGACATGTCAATTCTGAGTAAAAGAACACTTAACAACTTCTTCTCTTTATCTATACACAGGTCTTGCTGTCCCTAAGCCACACCTGGTGACATTTCTGGAGCAAAGACCAGAGCCTTCAGATGGGGAGAGACAAGCAGCAGCCACCGTGCACCCAGGTGTGTAGGAATGAGGGGTTCAGGGGCAGACTTGATATCCTGAGATCCAACAGAAAGTGAGGCTTTCCCATTTACCTTGAATCATAATACCATGGGAATCATTCTATAGGTCTCTCCTTGTATTTGTTGTCAAGGCTGGTGTCTCAGTTTTATGAGGGTTTAAGTCTCTTAAGCTTTGGATTTCCCCAATTACAAGCTATGCTTCTACTTACAGTGACCTCCAAGGTTTTTCCTTTTGTTGATCCTCCTTTGTACTGTAAGACTCAGGGAAATAGAAGTCAGAATTGTAAAGACCAAGAGTCTTTTATTTACAGAGGTTGAGAGCAGACTCAAGCAAGAAAGATCTCTACAGAAAAGTGACCATAATGAGTTAATAAAGGGAAACCCACAATTCTATCACAGAGAGGCAGGCAGGGACAGAAGGCTCAACAGTGTCAGTTCTGTTGGTCAGAACAATTGGGGGTTGGAAGCATTGGATAAAACTCAGATGAACCAGATGCACTTTGGGCAGTGCATTCCCCACTGATCTTAGGGAAGAATCAAAGCATTAGCATATCATATAAAGGGGATGTGTGGGCCTCTAGGTATGCTAATTTAACAGAGGCACTTTGGGTTTTTCAATGCTTTTTCCCCCAATTGCTTCAGCAGGTCATGACAATTAGACATAGGAAGATTATGACAGGACAACTTGCAAGGCCTTACACTTTTGATTCAGGAAGCCCATCAAACCAGTTATGGGTTCAGTGTTTACTCTCTTTCCTGACAGTAGATTTAAGCCTTTTAGTGACTTGTAAGGCTCCATGGATTTTTTTAGGGCTTTTTTTTTTTCTAGTTAATTTATCATGTACAAGGACTGGTATTTGGATATATAAGCAGTAACAACTTGGTAAAGAAATTATAAACTTATATGTGTCTAATCTGATGTTTTCAGGTACATCAATACCAGTAAAATGTTTAATCTCAGATACTATCAGGTTTCCCACTATCTCTAGACCTATAAGAAGCATTATGACTAATATTACCATGACTCCAGTTGGATGAAAATATCTTGTGATCACTTCTTCTCAAGGTCTCCTGTTGATTCTCAAACGTCTTCAGTGTATCTTTTCATTAGTCTAGCTTTTTAATGGGATCAGTACTGATGAGTTTAGGCAGTGTTTTTCTTAGGCAACTTTATGGATCAGCTCTGCTGGCAGCCAATCCCAAATAACCATATAGAGATTTTATATTAATTATAAACTATCATATGACAACTCAGGCTTATTATCAATTAGGTCTTATATTTTATTTAACCCATATGTCTTTTTTATACTCTACCACATGGCAGTTCCTTTTCTTCCTATGGCATGTTTACCTCTTGCTTCTGGGTGTCCAGGTCACTGCTCTGACTCTGCCTTGCTAATTGCAGGATTTGGTCAACCACAAGAATCCTGCCTAGCCATAGACCAATAGCTCTTTATTAACAATAAAATCAACACATCTTCACAGTGTACAGAAACATTATTCCACAGCATTTCCCCATTTTTGTCTAATTAAAAAGAATGGTTTTAATTTTATTGTAGTAAAAGTATACTCATGTTGTTGGAAAAAATCATAACCTCTCTCACTTCCTTTTTCCTTTTAAAATCAAGACATGATAAAACTACATCGGTTGCTTTAATCCAGCAGTTTTCTCAATCCTGTCAGTTTTAGCAGCTCTCTTTCCTTCATTAGCAGTCAGAAAATCTACAGACAACACAGTACCACATGGATTCCATTTAAAGATTTTTTTTTTTTACGTCTGGGTCTATCTTTCTTGAGCATCTGTAACCCTTTCTGTCTACATGAGCAAAATCTCAAACCTCAAGCTGGTAGCTCAAATCCGTAGGCAGCTGTCAGGAGATGCACATCTGTACTGCAGCTCACATGAGAGACAGAAGACTAACAAGATGCATTTGGCTCTGCTTTTGTGTCGTGAGAAGTTCTTTTGAGCTTCCTCATGCCTTATGTAGTCCGGTGTGCCCCAGATTGGAATGCCATTTATGAGCGGAGGTTTCTGTCCCAACAACCCCACCCAAATACCCGAAATGGAGATACTTATTAATTGTAAATACTCAGCCAATAGCTTGAGCTCATTTTTAGGTAGCTCTTACTTTTTTTTAAATGAACCCATATTTATTATCTACCCTCTGTCACGTGACAGTTCCTTCTTCTAATATAGTATGTTTTCCTTTTTTTTCCCTGCATCTTCTAGCGACTCCTCTCACTCTGCCATTCTTCCTCCTAACATTCTCTCTTCTCAGAAAATTCTGCGTAGCCATTGACCCATCAGTTTTAATGATGAGCGTAATACATATTTGTAGTAATAAGGGCGGCGGGGCTGCGTCCCCAGCACCCCGGCTGCCTGGCTAGCTTATGCCCGAAATAACAACACACAAACTGTATTCATTTAATCACTGCTTGGCCCATTTCTATCTAGCCTCTTCTAGGCTAACTCTCGCACCTGGACTAGCCCATTTCTAATATTCTATGTAGCACAGCTAGGTGCGCTTACCGGGAATATTCTAGCCTACGTCCATCCTGGGTCGGAGCTTCATCGCGTGTGTCTGCCCAGGAGCCAGGAGCATGGCGTCTCTCTGAGGCGTCTGCTCCCGAGAGGAGAGCTGTGGAGTCTGAGCTCACTTCCTCTTCCTCCCAGCATTCTGTTCTGTTTACTCCACCCACCTATGTTCTAAGCTATGAGCCCAAGCAGTTTGTTTATTAATTAGCCAATGAAATCAACAGATTGATATATGACACTCCCACATCACATATTCATATTGTATAAAAAGAGATCTGATGACAGGTACAGAGGACTGGATAATGGAAGGTAGAAATGTTTTTCTCCTTCTAATACTGTGTTTGAGTCCAGCCTGGTCTAGATAGTGAGTTACAGGAGAGCAAGATCTTCATAGAAAAACCTTATCTTCTAAAACAAAAACAAACAAAAAGGGAAAGAAGTAATTTTGTCATCTCTTTATTGACAAATATATTGTCTCAACCAAATTTACATTAAGCACAGGTGAATCTGAAGGTTTTTTGTTTTGTTTTTGCATGACTCATTATGTTTCAGGTGTATATTTTCTTGTCTTTCAAATAAAATGTAAAATACTGTCCTGAATTTGAACTATAAATTTCGTGTTTATGTAGACTGTCTACGTGTGCAGCATATCTTTTGTACTCCCAAAGTAAAATTATAAATGAAGGATAAAAAGTTTGTATTACACTATGTCTCAAATTCACAAAGTCAAAATGAAGTTTTTTTTTCCTGGACTCAGCTGTGTTATAATTTCATGGGTATCCTGCAATATACAATCTCTATTTTTTTAATGGCTTAATTTCTCTTGGTTAAATGCGTTTGCAACTTACTTAGCTATTTATCTTTGAATTATATGCCATTATGTCTATCTTCTATTTGGATGTTTTATTATTCTACTAAAGGTATAGATCATTTCTACCTACAATATTTTATCATTTATACTTCGTGCCTCTAAGTTGTGAAATGACTAGTTTTTCACTGCTTCATTATGTATTAATAAATGTATTCTTTTTAAATGATAGGCATTGTAAGTATGAAGAATAATTTCTAACTTTTGCTCAACAGGAACAACACCCGAAGATGATAGCATTTTCTCCGAGGCCACTGATCATAACTCACTACAGATTCAATGCCAGAGAATTCATAAAAGGATTAAAACCTACAAGTGTGAAGAATGTGGTAAGGCCCTTAGTTCTTATAAAGCGCTTTCCACACACCAGAGACTTCACACTGGAGAAAAACCCTACACGTGTACAGAATGTCACAAGGCCTTCAATACTCCTGGAGCACTTTTTATACACCAGAAAGATCATACTGATGAGAAAACCTACAAGTGTGGAGACTGTGGCAGATCATTTTACTATCTTTCAATGCTGAAGCAACATCAAAGGATTCATTCTAGAGAGAAACCCTACAAATGCGAAGAATGCGGCAGATGTTTTTTCTCTTTTTCATACCTTAGACAACATCAAAGAAAACATTCTGGAGAGAAACCATTCAAGTGTGAGCAGTGCGGCAAGTGTTTCTGCTTCACATCATCCCTTCGGCGACATCAAGCTCTACATTCAGAAGAGCATCCCTATAAGTGTGCTGAGTGTGGCAAAACTTTTTCCTCTTTTACCTACCTTCAGGAGCATCAATTATTTCATACTGGACAGAAATCTTACAAGTGTGAAGTGTGTGGCAAATGTTTTTACTTGCTTTCATCCCTTCGGCGACATCAAACAATACATTCTGAAGACAAGATCTACGACTGTGAAGACTGTGGCAGAAGCTTTAGCTCTTCTTTATCCTTTAGGCGACATCAAACAACCCATTCAGCAGACAGTCCTTACACCTGTGTACATTGCGGCAAATCGTTTTCCTATTCTAGGGATCTTCAGGATCATCAAAGAGTTCACACTGGAGAGAAACCCTACAAGTGTGAGGAGTGTGACAAAGCCTTTCATTATCACTCATCCCTTAAGACACACAGGCGAGTTCATATGGAAGAGAAACCCTACAAGTGTGAGGAGTGTGACAAAGCCTTTCGTTGTAACTCGTCCCTTAGGAGACACAAGAGAGTTCATAATGGAAAGATACCCTACAAGTGTACAGAGTGTGACAAGTGCTTTTGCTCATCTGTAATCCTTAGACGCCATCAGAGAATCCATTCTGAAGACTGTAATTATACCTGTGTACACTGCAGCAAAAGGTTTTTAAATTCTAAGGATCTTCGGGTTCACCAAAGAATTCATACTGGAGAGAAACCGTACAATTGTGAAGAATGTGACAAGGCCTTTCATTGTAACTCATCCCTTAGGAGACACATGAGAATTCATTCTGGAGAGAAACCGTACAAGTGTGAAGAGTGTGACAAAGCCTTTCATCTTAACTCATCCCTTAGGATACACAAGAGAGTTCATACTGGAGAGAAACCCTACAAGTGTGAATACTGTGACAGATGCTTTTCTTCGCCTTCATCCTTTGTACGACATAAAAGAAAACTTCATTCTGAAGAGGACCCCTAAAATTTCGGGGAATGTAACAAAGCCTTTATTAATCTCAATATCCTTATTCAACACATGATATAGCTAATGCGGGGGAGAAGTCAAACAAATGTCTTAAAAAGTTTACTTCTTCAAACCTTAAAACACATCAGATGTTTCATTCTGACTGCAAACTTCGTGAGTGTGCGAAGTGTTTGTTTGGAAAGTCTTTGTCAACAAATCAGGTATTATCCAACTGAAATAAATACATATGGATAATATTAAGTTAATCGTATCAGAATGTCATCAGAGAAGAATAGAGACTTCTCTTTGCTGTAACTTCCAACAGTTTATTCAAGCAATGTGTTTGGAACTTGCCTTTATTAATAATCTCTATCTTCGGTAATTATAAATGCTCCACTAAATCTTTACCATGTCAGAGCTTTGTCCATTGGTTGCCCGGAATCTGAGATCTGAATATTTACTATTGTTTTTCCCAGTGGAATCATTCATGCTCCTGCAATATCTCCTCTTGGTGTATAATTAAAATATAGCTGAGCTAGCAGTTTTTCATCCCATGTTTGACTCTGGAATCCTTGTTGCTTATATAAAAGGACAGAGACAGAGATAAAACAGCATGAATGCTCTTGCCATCTAAGACATCCACAGCAAGGCAGCAGCTGTGGCTGCAGAGGTGCAGCCATCGGCTGAGGTAGTGATAGTTTCAGGTGCAGCTGCTGTGCCTCAGAGAAAAACAGCAGTGCCCATAGAGCAACAATGGCATTAAAGCTCTGGGGTAACCAATCATTTTCTGACTGCATTTGAAGTTCCTTGTACAAACTGTAACTCATGTGATGTTGATTTGGTGATAAACTTGTGGTGATAACTCCTAGGGAGGATTTGACGCTGTCCTTCTAATGAGTGGACAGTAACTAAATGAACCCAAGTTCTCAACTTTATACCCACAGTCAGGCACCTCTCAGCCCTCACCAGAATGTATTAATTGTGTGGTAGATGGAGAAGACTACACAGATGCAAAATGATCAAAGTGTGGAGAATATTCCTCTGTGGAGGCCCTAATCCATAGGTGACACCTGCATCACACATTGTGTTTTCCCTTGCACACATCTGAAGCCAAAAGTTATGGAGAAGAGTTGGAAAGAATGTCAGAGCCAGGTACAGAAGATGTGTGCCCTGAAGCAGTAGAAATGTTGAGACATTTCTAGAACAGTGAAACATTGATAGAAATGTTAATACCAATTAATGCATGAACACCCTATGACTATGACTACGTGGATAACACTAATATAAGCTGAACCACAGCATACGACAAGCGTGGTTGCATCAGCCCCTCATTGTCTGACCTCAGTGGAGGAGCTGTTGGCAGTTGCTGAGTTCTGAGGGAGACAATCTGGTTACCTTCCAGGTTCCAGTCAACTCACCTATACCCCCAAACATTGAGGAAACAGTAAGTGCATTGAAGAAATAACAAAGAAAAAGCCCAGTGAGTTGTGAGTGTAACATATTTTCAAGGGTAAGAAATAAGAGGTGAAGGAATGTGGACTTTTAAATAAACGATGTAACATCCGTGTATTAAATTCTCCAAAAAAAATATGATTGTAAAGCTTGTTGGTTTTGTACATGCCCAAACCTGTTTCAGCAGAGATTACAGCACATGAATTTGGCTGTCATTTCCAGAGGGTCAGCATCCTACTGGGAAGGCCGCACGACAGAGCAAATGAGAGGACTCCCAGAAGGGCTCAGATGCTGAGGACTAAGGCCTGCATCAGTGTAACCTCAGGAAAGAGACTGGGATGGCTTTGCAGAGATGAGATGCGGCCAGATTCACCTTGTTTCCTCTAGGCTTTGCCATGGGTACAACAGAGGAAAGTTGAACAGCAGCTTCTCCACGGCACAGCTTTTCCTGCTACAGCTGAAGATCAAAAAGCATGCATTCAGCTTTTCATCAACACCGTTTAAGTGTTTCATGGCAGGACCTTTTAAAAGAGCTGTAAGGTTTACAGCTAAAGCTGAGTTAGGAAGTCTCCTTTAAACGAGAGCGCTTGCTTGCCTCTAGCAAGCAGAGCAGACCCAAGAAGTTGCTGCTATCAAGAAGCCATGCTTTAGTGGTCACCTAGCTCTTCGATAGTGAGACAAACTGACTCCATCCAAAGCGAGTGGTCAGGATATGCTGATATTCTGCTCCTTTGTAATTTGGAAGGTCACCTGGGAAAGAGGTGTTAATTCAGTCTGTGTGACAGAGTAGACATAGCAGGAAGATCGATAGGTAGATGTGACAAAATGGGCATAGAAGGGTGTGGATGTGACCACAGTCATTTCCCCGGCTACCTAGGAAACAGAATGCTAATGAATTTCCCCCTCACTTTACGTTTTGGTAAACTATTAGGAGGACAAATGTGGGTAAGATTGTTCTGGATGTGAATTCAGGATTTCATGAAGGATCCCTGAAATCTGTCTCCTGTAAAATTGTTGAGTTTGTCTTAATTATTCCCACACCTCCTCAGGTTAAGAAATAATTTATGGTCCAGGGTGATACCAGAACCTGGAAAAAAAAAAACCCTAGAGTTTGAAATAAAAAACATTTGCATGTGAAAATTAACAAGACCTGTTAACAACTACTTTGTTGTGGAATATTATTTTAACTAGCCAAAAGTGTGTTACAAAGGTGTTTATGCTGTGCAAGATTATTTGAACTGTGTAAAACAAATGTGTGACATTTGTGTCTGGTGTCTTTGTTTACAATGCATTTGTTTTGTAAACATTTGTTTCTGCTGCCTGTTTAAGATACGGGATTGGTTTTATAAAAGTTGAATGGCCAATAGCTAGGCAGGAGAGCAATGGGCGGGGCTGACAAGCACAGAGAATAAATAGGAGAAGTCTAGGCTAGAGAAGAGAAGAGGATAAGGAAGAAAGGGGGGCATTCAGGGGTCAGAAGTTGAGCAGCATGCAGACAGTTATGGAGACAGCAGGAAATAAATACAGAAAAAGAACAGTAAATAACGCCGTATCAAAACATAGATGAACAGAAATGGTGAAATAATAAAAGCTAGCAAGAAATGAGCTTAAGGTATGACCAATCATTCATCAATACTAAGTCCCCTGTCATGATTTGGGAGCTGATTGTTGGCCCAAGAGAAAGTCTCTTGCACCACAAATCCTGAACTCTGTACAGTTAGAACGGACATTCAGAACAGAACCTGAGGCATTCACATTGGATTTGGCACTGTCTGCACTGAATATATTTTATGCCTTTGTACCACCCCATGAAAACTAAAATCCATGGCCAAGGTGGAACCTGAAAATCAGTTGCCTTAAGTCCTCGTTCACAACCCACGCTCGTTATTTGCTTTAAATCCATCTTCATCCCCAAAAAGTTAATCTGCATCCTCTTTTCTACTTTACACACTGAACCCACATATGCATTTCTTCACATGTATGTTTTACTTTCAAGATTCAACATATTAGGTAGAATATGCAGTTTATATCATCATGATTGCATGACTTCAACTACAGTTGATGTCTATCCATTTTTCTGTTCATTTTGTGGCTATACTATTGTAGAGGTAAAAGCACCCCCCCCCCCCGTGTGTGTGTAATGAACACATAATCATGAAATTTTTTTCTAATAATATGTTCATGGACACATGTTTATTCAGGTTATTTGCAGTTGAGAATAAAGAAGCAATCAACATGGGACACAAAGATCTCTATAAGGTGTGCAGTTCCCTGAGCATAACCCAGGATTGAAATAGTGGGGGCAGTGCAGAGATGAGAACCCTGGTTCTAGTGGGGTGAGATCATTACCTGTGTGAGTTGTTGACTTGGGAGGTTCCAGGGGTCACCGCTGCACCATAGTTCTATGTTGTTGTGGTCTCAGAGGCTCCTTTGGTCTGTGGCTCTAACCACAGCCTCTAGATAGTAGACTGCACTGCATCTGACGGTTAGTGCTTTGCTCCTGCAGGCTCTCAGGGGCCAAGGGGTGGCCAAGGATTTGACTCCATAGTGAGCATCCAGTCCCAACTGCACTGACATGAGGCCACTGGACTCAATTCCTGGTTGGAGGATGTCCTCTGGCTGTGACGGTGGGAACCCTTTAACCATATATGCCCAGTGTACAACCTTGTTTCCACAGGAAAGGTGAAGCATCATGCATTTATGCCGGAACTACATACTCCAGGCTGGAAAAAGGAATGGATACATTATCTGTGTTTTGTCAGACAGCTTCTCACCAGGAGATAAACAATGGTAGTCTCGGTTGCAGTTAGGAAGCCTGTTAGCTGGTCTTTTTTTTTTTTTTTATTGCGAAAAGAAGAAAAAAAAACATAAACAAAAAACAAGTTTCCACCTCCTCCCAGCCTCCCATTTCCCTTCCCCTCCTCCCATCCTTCTCCCCCTCCTCCCACCCTTCTCCCCCTCCTCCCACCCTTCTCCCCCTCCCCCCACTCCTCTCCCCCTCCCTCTCCAGTCCACAGAGCAGTCCGGGTTCCCTGCCCTGTGTTAAGTCCTAGGTCCTCCCCCCTCGGTCCATATCTAGGAAGGTGAACATCCAAACTGGCTAGGCTCCCACAAAGCCAGCACATTAAGTAGGATCAAAACCCCCTGCCATTGTCCTTGGTGTCTCATCAGCCCTCATTGTTCGCCATGTTCAGAGAGTCCGGTTTTATCCCATGCTTTTTCGGTCACAGTCCAGCTGGCCTTGGTGAGCTCCCGGTAGATCAGCTCCACTGTCTCAGTGGGTGGATGCACGCCTCGTGGTCCCGAATTCTTTGCTCATGTTCTCCCTCCTTCTGCTCCTCCTTGGGACCTTGGGTGTAGGGTTAAGACAGCCCCTTTAGGGGGCGGGGTTTGCCTCGGGCGTATGCCTGCCGATAAATGGGCGCGCGGCTCAGCTGCTCGGCCCTTTTTTCCCCCGCCCTACCTCCTGTATCTCGCTGGAACTTTGGTTCTGTAAGTTTATCATTAAAGTGGTAAATATTCTTTGATATCTGCATTGCATTTATTTTGCGCGGATACAATTGGCACCCTCCCCGTGGGGCTTTGCCGAGAACCGGCCCAAAATCGGAGTCTCTTGCACCCGGGGCCGCTGCGGCGGTCTCTGGGCCTGCGTGGAAGCAGCTGAGATTCTGAGCAACTCGATTTTCCCTGCTGCTTGCTAGAGAATCAAGCAGCGGGTTTGAAATCTACAGAGCCTTTTTAACACCGCCTAAATCTCCGTTCCCCTCCCACCTCCACCTGCGCTCGGGTCACGTGACGGCGGCGCTGCGTCCCCGGCACCCCGGCTGCCTGCTCGGCTAGCTTATGCCCCGAAATAATTACACGGACACTGTATTCATTTAATCACTGCTTGGCCCTTCTGCCCTAACCCTTACTGGCTAATTCTGATATCCCGATCAACCCATCTCTAATAATATGTGAGCACCGGTCTTACCGGGAAGATTCTAGCCTAGTCCATCCTGGGTCGAGCTTCATGGCGTGTGTCTGCCTGGGAGCTGGGAGTATGGCGTCTCCCTGAGGCATCTGCTCCCGAGAGCAGAGCGATGGAGTCTCTGACCTCACTTGGGAGCTCAGTCCAGTGCTCCTGTGTGGGTCTCTGTCTCTATCTCTATCCATCACCAGATGAAGATTCTTTATAAGTAACTTAGCTGTTCTTAATCACACAAGTCATCAAGCCGACCAAGAGGAAGGAAGATACCAAGCCACGTGGCTAACGGAGATGAAAATTATAGGTTAACTCTTCTGATTACGGTGTTTCCTCTTTAGAAGTTCTACTTTTCCATGGGCTACAGGCTGCACTTTGCCTCACCTACTCCTTTGAAATGTAGTTCAAACTCCATATTGCATATTTAAAACCCTCTTGTGCTTTGCATTGGAATCCTGTGCGTGGAGTTACATTGTGGGAGGATAATTAACTTGGTATACAATTTATTTTTGTTTTATTTAGTTTAGTTTTGTTTCTAGTGTCATACCTCCTAGGGATTTAAGCTTCGCGCAGATTTCTGGGAAATGTAGTCCCCGCGTCTGTGACGTCACAATTAGCCATCTAGGAAATCACATTTCCTGCTTTGATCTCCACCTGGGCGACTTCCCCAAAGTTGGAGGAGAGACCCTCCTGTCTTGCTTTGCTGTTGCCGGTCTAACACGGAGGTTGGTTCAGGGTGCAGCGCAGCCTGAGGCACTGTGCGGGGTGCGGGGTCAGTCTTGGAGGGATCGGACCTGGGTTGGGTGGGAGGGCGGGAGAAGCTGCCTTGGAGGTGCTGTGCTCAACTGGCTGGGACGCCTGAGACTGCAGGTCAGGGAAGGTGAGGGCGACAGGGACTGTGCCCTGAGTGATGGTTTCCTTAGGACGCCGCGTGCAGCCCGAGTGCTCCTTGGGCTTCTGGGACAGGAGAACTGCGCGGAGTAGATGATAGTGCAAGGTCCAGGGTTGCAGGCTAAGGATGGTCAGCTGACTGCCTGCTCCTGAGGGGGAGCTGGGAGCTTTGGTGGAGAAGCCTGCTTCACTTCTGACCCATTCTATTATGGATGCTGTGAGATTTCTCAGTCTGTTATTTATTTATTTATTTATTTGATTTTTTTCGAGACTGTGTCTCTGTAGCTTTGGAGCCTGTCTTGGAACTAGCTAGCTCTTGTAGACCAGGCTGGATTCAAACTCATCGAGATCCACTTGCCTCTGCCTCCTGAGTCCTGGATTAAAGGCGTACTGGGATTTAATGCATGCGCCAGTATTGCCCAGCTGAGATTTCTTAGTATCTTTAGAACAGTCTTGGTTTCTGATCTGGATCTGTCCTTTACTTTGTAACTGGCCTTATTTATGGTCTCGAGGTTCATGAAAAGATTTTACTGTCTGATAAGCTTCTCTGTCAATGCAGTAATCCGAATCAGACCAAATTAAATGGAATTAGAGAAAGCCCAGGGTTAATGGAAATCAATGCTCCCAGATGGCTTTCCAGCCCCACAGAGAGAGGACATGGGGAAGACTGGAAAACCATGTATTTGTTCTTTAGAGTGTTGTTTAAATACGCTGTGGGAGTGGTATTGAGCATCTCTGGGGAGAGGACATTGTTTGGGAGCTGTTCTCTGAAGTGGAGTCTGGACTGAGGCAACTCCCAGAGGAGGGGAATTGGGATGGAACTTCAAACATTCCAGATTCTGGCTATATGGATGCTGGAGACTGAGGTGAAGCTTCCACCCAAACATCTTTGGTATAGGTGCTCCGGCTCCAGTCTGTCTTCTTCCTTTGGGCATTGGTTGATGTGGCGGAAGAGACAGTCAAGAGTTGGTGGGCTCACAGTCAGCGGGAGGTGTGGCTGGAGAGGCATCCGGTTCACTGCCATCCTGGAGACCTCAGGCATCTGTCCCTTAAGGGAAATGAGAAGGCAGGTTGCTAGGAGAAAAATAAATTGTTATTATTGACCCTATGGTTGGGGCCTGCCACGGGAAACTGCCAGGAGTGGGATGGAGAAGCGCCCTGGCACAGGAGAGGCAGGGTGAGTGAGGGAGACAGTTACCTTGTGTTCATTTGTTCTGATGGCTAAAGAACTAAGAAAGGAAAAATATCTGAGGGGCCTCAGGTCTCTGGCAGTAAATTCTGGAATGAAGCGGCAAGGTCTGCTATAGAAAGCTGTGACTAGGGTGGAGAGAACACACATTCAGCCCACACACAGAGGGCCCTCTGCAGGAAGAAGGAACTGGAGAAGCTGACTCCAGGCCTCATCTCGTTTTCTTAAAGCCTTGAAAGGTTCCCCATCCCTAATGTAGGGCGGACTAACTGTGAAAATGACAGGATGTCTGCTTGGCCCACAATGGTTGTATCAACGTCTTGATGTGGCCTTGAGCTTGTTGAGCTGGTCCAGAAGCAGGGTCCCTAGGAACAGGTGAAAAGCCCTCATGGCCTTGTGTTACAGTGCCAGGCTTTTGTGTCAGGTCAGCGGGTGAGGAGAACTCCCAGACCTGTGTGTATTCCTGGGATTTTAGTAACCAGACCTGTGATAGAAAAGAAACGTCAGTCTCCTCTGAGGCACATCCCTGTCATCTCTGCGTTTGTGAGGGGGAGGCAGGGCCCTCTGGTCCTCCCCTGCTTCACAGCAAATTCCAGGCCAGCCTATTTTACCCAAGTCTGTGACAGGGAGCATTTCAACTATAATGATGTGAGAAATACTGTCCATGGTTTCTTTCCCATTTCTTACAGTGAGCACCCAGCCCACACTGTTGTAAAAACTGTGTGCTTACCTTCTGCTGACTCAGCCCACATGTAATTTAAACTTTATATCAAACATGTTCTTGTTAAAGTGATGATTGCATACCTGTTAGCATTTACTCTGTGAGAAAGAATTCTCTTTGCCTCCTTTGAATAGTTCTGCCTATAGTCAACAAACATTCATTCTTTTTTCCTTTTTAATCTGTGTTAGTTACTGTCATAATCCGATGTGACTTTCTTCTGATTTTTTCTGGTTTCTTACAGTTTGCTTCTTTCAGTTCAGTCTGAGACTCGGCTGCTGTGATTTCATTCCTGGGTCTTTTTCTGCAGCTGCAGCTGGGATACCTTCCCTGTCCTTACAGCAGAGGTTCCTCTGTGAGCAGTTGCTTCTTACAGTTAGCCAGAACAAAACCACTTCCTGCACTGTCCTTCACATGGGGCACTGCATAGCCAACAGCAAAGCAGACTGCTAATGGCGGGTCCTGCTCTTCCACAGGTCCAGTCCAGTTCCCTTGCTGACGGTCCTGTGTCTTTCCTCCCAGGCTTCTTTGACTGAACTCTAATGTCAGTGTTTTGCTTTAAAGAGACTCAGAAACAATGTATGGACTATTAATATCCTCAAATACATCTAGACAGCTAACATATACAGCAAAGCATTTGATAGATATTTTGAAACAAAAATTACAGTATATAATTCAGGTTTCCAAAGCAGGTACTATGTTTCTTCCATATTTTTCATGGTTTAATTCACTTTCTGAGTCATAAAATTGTAAAACTTGGTGGCTTGCAGCAAAAACTAGTGACTGTTTCATGCCATAGTTATGTGTGTAGAGTCCTGGAACAAAGACCTAGGAATTGCTTCTTCATGGTGTATGTGGTGCGTGTTTTAGGCACTATGTCTGTGATCCGTAGGTTGTCTGCTTTGAATGGAGGGTCCCTAACTTTTAGATTCTGACCTGCAATCCCATCCCATCTTTGAATATCGTTTTGAGTTCCCACCAATCCCGCCTCGTCTTCAGTTTTGTCTGTCTCTCTCTGAAAGGTGTCTCTGAGGGACACCAAGAGGAAATGCAAGAATTCTTGTTATACTTACTCTGTCCATTTTGTTGCTCTAGGCTTGCTTCTAGGACCAGCCTCCACTACTACTGAACTGTGAATCAAGTCTCCTTTGTTTAGCTTTCTTCCTGACCATTTTTCATAACAACTTGTAACCAACACTCTAAACAGACAAACATTTATAATCCATTTTTTTGCTAATGTAAATGTACCTTTCTAGGCTACTTCCTGCTGATTGGGGGCCCTGGTAATCTTATGGGGACCTAAAGAAAATTGAGATTTATGGTCAAGTCCTGACTAGAATATTCTGTGAGGCTTGATCATCTCATCCAGCAGCCGCGAAGCTGTTCTAGATGTAGAACTCAGACATCTGTCCCACTTGCTCCTATCGGACATTTCTCAGGGGATCTTCCTTGATCAAACCAGATTTTTCTTAACCAAGAACGAATCTACAGCCTCTCCTTTCCTATGGAAAACAAAACAAAACAAAACTTCTTCTATAAAGTACCATATCTTTAGACTTCAATTTTGAAGTCAAAGCATGTTCAGTATTTATATATGTTGTAGTAATCCAGCAGCATTTGTAATCAAATGTCTTTTAGCAGCTGGTGCTCCCTTCTCAGACATCAAACAATTCAAAGACAACAACAGCAAAAAAAAAAACCATGCAGTATCCGGACTGTCTGTGTATTTTCCATCTTTATATGGCTTTATTTTAAACTCCATTTCTTTTTTATTTACTTTCAATTTTTGCTTTTTTTTTTTCTTTTTCAGACTAGATTTCTCTGTGTATCTTTGGCTTTCCTGGAACTCACTCTGCAGACAAGGTTATCCTACAACTCATCTGCCTGCCTCTGCTTCTGAAGTGTTTGGATTAAAGGTGTGTGCCACCACTCTCAGCTACTCTCTTTCTTACTTTTTTTTTTTTTTTTTTTATGATTTTACCCTTGCAGACACAAGACTAGGGAGATTGGAGCTGGACCTGACCTGAAGGTCTCCTGCCTAAGGGTGAATTTTCTTAACACTAGAAGGTGCTTTGTGAGCTCCAAGGGAGAGAAGCAATAAATAGCCCTGCTTAGCTGTAATGCCCGTGAACCACACCCATGAGCAGTATGACATTAAATCCCTAAAGGTGCCCCAGTGCCTCCCACATCTCGGCATTAGCAGCAGTTGTCTCTGATGACTTAGTTCTTAAGTTACAGAGGAGAGCATACTGGAGCCATCACATTTGCTAACTGCATTCCAGATGCTTTTCTAGACCTACACTGAAGTGTAGCTGTCACTGCCTGTTAAAGACACTGCTCACTGCAGCACAGAGAGCATTACAGAAAACTAAAATGTACAAATCCAGAGAACTATTGTCTTGTGATGCCCTGACCCAGTAGATACACCACACCACAATTCCTGTGCAGAAGGCTCAGGGAATATATCTGGAGAGGGTCCATATTGATCATGAGAGCCAGGGTCCAGGAAGTCTGGCATGAGGTTGTGCCTTCCAGAAAGGGAAGGGAAGCTGCACCCATGACACCCCAACAGTATGACTGCCTGAACAAGCCCTGAACAATGGCAGTGGCACAAGATCCCCTGCAGGGGGCAGTCTGCTGGCTAACAGAGAAGTATAGGCACATAAGGACTGCTAAGAGAGGGAGAATTGGTCTTCCCCAGGGCTGAGCCCACTCACTCTTCATCCAGTAACAAGTGGTCAGTCCCCAAAACACACACAGGTAACAGTGAACAGACTAGACCCTTTATATTTATGCAGTGGGTATGTACAGTGTAGATATGTACAGTTATGTGCTGTGTGTAACAATGTTAATTAGAGGAGAGAAAACCATGTATCTGAGATAGATTATTGGGGTACATGAGAGAAGCTGGAATGAGGAGATAGAGGGGAAATAGCAAATTTTATTACAATAATTTTTGACAGGAAAATTACACTCTTGCCAATCATGACAATATCGGTAAAACTGAAGTTAATTTGGGAAGCTAGAGGTTAATAACACATGATCTCATCAACATGTTAAATGTAATGAATTGAAACTCACATAAAATAGAGGTTTGTTAAACATAAAGCATTGTAAGTCAATGGGTGTTGGAGAGGTAATGTTTTTTGTTTTTGTTTTGTTTTTCCATTTACCGGTGATATCAAAAGCAAATACTTGGACTTCCTTTTGTGGATTATCATCTTAACTATGTAAAGAGGTTTCCGTTTGCTTGTGGAATATTGGTTTCACTATGGAAAGATGTGCTACATCTGTTTACCTTGTCTGCATAAGGCACCTGATTCATCTCATAGCTGAATGACGAACACCTAGGTGGGAGGGATAAGCGGGACTTCCATGCAGAGAGAGTAAGGAAGAGGAGGACTCGTGGAGGCAGAGACAGAGGAGGCAGGAAAGCAGGACATACAGAGTGAAATATAAGCAAAGCCCCAAGGGAAAATGCAGATGACTAGGAAGAGGTGGAATTAAGTTAAAAGAGGTAGTGGGACAAGCATAAGGTAACGGCCAAGCTTCCATGATTAAAAAGAAGTCTCGCCGGGTGATGGTGGTGCACGCCTTTAATCCCAGCACTCGGGAGGCAGAAGCAGGCGGATCTCTGTGAGTTCGAGGCCAGCCTGGACTACAAGAGCTAGTTCCAGGACAGGAACTACATAATACTTCATTATTAATTAATTGCTGAAACATCCTGTAGGGATAAAAGGAAAAATGATGTGTTATTATTTTTATAGATCATTCTGGGACATTACCCAAACAATATAAAAAACATAAATTCTAAAATTAGGAAATTTTGACATGTGAAAATAGCATCAGCAATTCTATGTCTCAGCTATGCACACTGATGCTCAGGTGTCATGTGTACAAACATGCTTAGGAATACCGCAGCCCACTTCAGTACCTGCCAGAGAAAAGATAGGGAGGGAAAATGACAAAAACATCAAGTGATATGTATTCTATTCTAAATATCAAGCAGTGTTGTTAGTCTTATTTTTGCACCTTTTCTCTTATGATCAGATACTTAAATGATATTTACTCTGTGAGTTCTTCCCCTGGCCTGCTCTTCTCATGTCCCGTGTCCCTGTCATCTGCATCATTACTGAACTCTGCAGAAATCCTGAGCCCACAGCACAGCCAGAGCTGCTGCAGCAGACTCTGTATTTTCATTCCACTTCACTGTCATGATTGTGCACATGAACTGTTGAGAAATCCCTTCTCCCTCACCGTGACTTTCTGTGAGGAATGCATATATGTGTAGTGTGTAGTAGCACATGACTATAAATGCATGTTCTGTGGATGCATTCATTCTACATGTCTTTCTGAAATGTATCGTGTCCAACTGGGGCTATGGGCTCGTTTACCTTGTCTTTACTATTGATGTTCAGTGTGAGCTCATGTGACCACTTCAGGCATGTCTGAGGATATTACTACCTGTGTAAGAACATTTCTAGCTCTCTTTCATCCTGGACAAATCTGTAATGCCTGTCTGAGGGTTCCTATTGTGCTAAAGCCCGAGATGAGAGACAGCTTGGAGAAGAAAAGGTTATTTTAGACTCCAACTCCACGTCCATCACTGAGAGAATTCAAGGCAGGAACCTGAGGTGTGAGGTGGAGAACAGGCCACAGAAGAACACTGCTTACTGACTCCCCGAGACTGCTTTCCTGTACCATGTAGAACTGCGTGCCCAGTGCAGGCATCACCATAGTGGGCAGTGCTGTCTCATAGGAGTCACTAGTTCAGAAAATGCCCCTAGACTTGGCTACAGGGCAGTCTTGGTAGGAATATTTTCAATTATTTCTCTCTTTGCAAATTGGCCCTAGCTAGGTTCAGTTCATAGGATAACTATCAAGCTCAATGCAAATTGGTATTTAAATTACTAATGGTTTTAATTAAATTAATGTATCATTCACTGATCTTTATTTCAGGAAATGTTGTCCTTCTCAGATGTGGCCATCGAGTTCTCTCCAGAAGAGAGAGAATGTCTGGAGCCTGCTCAGTGGAATCTGTACAGGGATGTGATGTTGGAGAATTACAGCCACCTTGAGTTCCTGGGTGAGCATCTCCTCTATAGTGACTTCTTATTTCACCATCAACATGTAGCTTCCTCTCTTTGTGTGGTTTCTCATGGGAGCATTTCAACAGTCAGTTTCATATCCTTCGTTTTCAAAAATATTAAGGACATCGCTATGTTAAATATTATTTCAGGGCTGAAGTGATGACTCAGTTGTTAAGAACATTGACTGCTCTTCTAGAAGATCGTTAAGTAAAAGGAAACTGCACTTTCCTTCCTGCCGCTCAGATGTGAATAATCAGATAGAAACTATATTAATTACAGCACTGTTTGCCCTGTGAGCCCAGGCAGGAAATACCACATCACCGGCACTCCTATGACAGTTCACAACTGTTTGTAAACCCAAGGTCTGACAACCTCCTGCTGTGTGATGTTTTAATTGTGTTGTATCCTGACAAATAAAGCTTGATTGGAGTCAGAGGGTAGAACTAGCCACCAGTTGACCATAGAGATATGGAAGACTGTAGAGAGGGGAACAGGACATGGAAAGCTGGGCTGAGATAGGATCTCTGCCCTTTGGATGGTGGGATGGAAGAGGTCGGACGTCACTGGTACTTTTATGATCTTTCAGTTTCTTAGCCGATATCTGACTCCTGATGATTTATTGATGAAGATTAATTAAACAAATCAACCTCATACAGACATACATCCAGAGAAAAAACCAATGCATATGAAAAATTAAAATAAATAATGAAAACAGGAAGATTGCTTACACTGTTTACTTCTTTCTGTGTTTAACCTCTCCGAGATGGGTGTGTCTTTCCCTGACTCTAGAGGGACTTTTAGAAATTCAGTGGCGTGAGAGGTGGAGCTTACTTTTTATGTGAACTGTGTTACAATTCTAAGTTACTGTTTTTTTCCCCTGAAACGAAACTCAGACCCTGGGTGCTGTTGGCTCCTTCACATGTAGCAGTGATCCTGTCTGAAAACACTTAAGGAACTGATTGTCTGCAATCATTTGTCACCTCATCTCTGTCCTTACAAGTCATGTACAGGAAGGGACATGTCAATTCTGAGTAAAAGAACACTTAACAACTTCTTCTCTTTATCTATACACAGGTCTTGCTGTCCCTAAGCCACACCTGGTGACATTTCTGGAGCAAAGACCAGAGCCTTCAGATGGGGAGAGACAAGCAGCAGCCACCGTGCACCCAGGTGTGTAGGAATGAGGGGTTCAGGGGCAGACTTGATATCCTGAGATCCAACAGAAAGTGAGGCTTTCCCATTTACCTTGAATCATAATACCATGGGAATCATTCTATAGGTCTCTCCTTGTATTTGTTGTCAAGGCTGGTGTCTCAGTTTTATGAGGGTTTAAGTCTCTTAAGCTTTGGATTTCCCCAATTACAAGCTATGCTTCTACTTACAGTGACCTCCAAGGTTTTTCCTTTTGTTGATCCTCCTTTGTACTGTAAGACTCAGGGAAATAGAAGTCAGAATTGTAAAGACCAAGAGTCTTTTATTTACAGAGGTTGAGAGCAGACTCAAGCAAGAAAGATCTCTACAGAAAAGTGACCATAATGAGTTAATAAAGGGAAACCCACAATTCTATCACAGAGAGGCAGGCAGGGACAGAAGGCTCAACAGTGTCAGTTCTGTTGGTCAGAACAATTGGGGGTTGGAAGCATTGGATAAAACTCAGATGAACCAGATGCACTTTGGGCAGTGCATTCCCCACTGATCTTAGGGAAGAATCAAAGCATTAGCATATCATATAAAGGGGATGTGTGGGCCTCTAGGTATGCTAATTTAACAGAGGCACTTTGGGTTTTTCAATGCTTTTTCCCCCAATTGCTTCAGCAGGTCATGACAATTAGACATAGGAAGATTATGACAGGACAACTTGCAAGGCCTTACACTTTTGATTCAGGAAGCCCATCAAACCAGTTATGGGTTCAGTGTTTACTCTCTTTCCTGACAGTAGATTTAAGCCTTTTAGTGACTTGTAAGGCTCCATGGATTTTTTTAGGGCTTTTTTTTTTTCTAGTTAATTTATCATGTACAAGGACTGGTATTTGGATATATAAGCAGTAACAACTTGGTAAAGAAATTATAAACTTATATGTGTCTAATCTGATGTTTTCAGGTACATCAATACCAGTAAAATGTTTAATCTCAGATACTATCAGGTTTCCCACTATCTCTAGACCTATAAGAAGCATTATGACTAATATTACCATGACTCCAGTTGGATGAAAATATCTTGTGATCACTTCTTCTCAAGGTCTCCTGTTGATTCTCAAACGTCTTCAGTGTATCTTTTCATTAGTCTAGCTTTTTAATGGGATCAGTACTGATGAGTTTAGGCAGTGTTTTTTATCAGCAGTTGATGGATCAGCTCTGTGCTGGCATCCTGTACCAAATAACCATACAGAGACTTTATATTAATGATAAGTGCTCGACAACAGCTCAGGCTTATTGCAAATTTGGTCTTACATTTATTAACCCCTATGTCTTCTACACTCTTACACATGGCAGTACCTTTTCTTCATATTGTATGTTTTTCTCTTGCTTCTCAGAATCCTGGTCTCTGCTCTGACTCTGTTTTTCTAAAGCCAGGATTTCATCAGCCCCAAAAATCCTGTTTAACCATAGACATACTAGAAGAATCCTGCCTAGCCATGGACCAATAGCTCTTTATTAACAATAAAAGCAACACATCTTCACAGTGTAGAGAAAGATTATTCTACAGCATTTCCCACTTTTTGTCTACTTAAAAAGGATGGTTTTAACTTTAACATATTAAAAGTATATGTAACAAAAATAGCCTCTCTTGTTGGAAACGAAATCATAACCTCTCTCCCTTCTTTTTTCCTTTTAAGGTCAAGACATGTTAAAAAATTATGTCTGTTGTTGTAATCCAGCAGTTTTCACAATCCAGTGAGTCTCAACTGCTCTCATTCCTTCTTTAGCAGTCAGAAAATCTACAGACAACACATGGATTCCAGACACTCTGTGTATCTTACTTTTTGTGTGTCTTAACTTTCATATTACTTTATTCCCTTTTAAAGAATTTTTGCTTTATTTTAAAAGTATGTATATATATACTTTTGTGTGTGTATATATATATATATATATATATATATATATATATTTGTGTGTATATTGTGACCATCTATAGTATTTTTCTCTTCTCCCACAAGACTTTGTACGTAACACTGTAACCCATTTAAAGATTTTTTTTTTTTTTAATTATCTGGATCTGTCTTTCCTGAACATCTGTAACCTTTTCTGTCCACATGAGCAAAACCCCAAACTCTGCCACCCATGGCATGGGTGGAGCTCAAGCTGGTGGCTCAAATCCGTAGGCAGCTGTCAGGAGATGCTTGTTTGTACTGCAGCCGACGTGAGAGACAGAAGACTAGCAAGATGCATTTGGCTCTCCTTTTGTGTAGTGTGAAGTTTTTTTGAGCTTCCTCATGCCTTAGTAGTCAAGGGTGTGTCGGGTTGGAATGCCATTTGTAGGCAGAAGTTTCTGTCCCAACAGCCCTACCAAAATAACTGAAATGCAGATACTTATTAGTTGTAAATGCTCAGCCGATAGCTTGGGCTTATTTTTAGCTGGCTCTTACTTTTTAAATGAGCCCACATTTTTATTTACCCTCTATCACATTGCAGTTCCTTCTTTCAATACAATATGTTCACCTTTTTTCTCTGCATCTTCTGGCAACTTCTTTCACTCTGCCATTCTCCTTCCTTGCAATCTTTCTTCCCAAAATTCTGCCTAGCCATTGACCCATCAGTGTTTTAATGATGAGAGTAATAAATATTCATATTGTACAAAAAGATGATCCATAGCAGAGGAGCTGGTCCAGATGTCTCTGGCAGGTGACTCAGAATGGCTGCTCTAGGTGAGCTTTCACAGTCCACCTCACCTCCTCCTCGGGCTGTGTTGCTTTTGTTACCTGATGTGGTGGGTCCTCACTTGGCACATGTGATTTAGTTTGAATGAGTGCCCAGAGTTTATCCTGTTGTGCTGAATTTCCCTCTGGCAGAGCCTCGGTCACATCTACCACTTTGCTGAGGACTGCTTACAAAATCTGCCCTTGACATCTCACCTTTGGGATTACCTTTGTTGAGAGAAGGATATTCAAAGCCAGGGTACAGGGCATTTGAACCACCATGAAATTTCCTTAACAAGTTGGGTGGTAGGCATAGGTATAAGGGTCCCCTCAGTATGCTAAACTATCATATTGGGAGACATGGAATACAGAGAAACTGCAGAGGGCTGGATAATGGAAGGGAGAAATGTTTTTCTTCCTTTAATATAGTGTTTAAGGCCAGCTTGGTCTAGATAGTGAGTTATAGGAGAGCAAGATCTTCATAGAAAAACCTTATCTTCTAAAACAAAAACAAACAAAAAGGGAAAGAAGTAATTTTGTCATCTCTTTATTGACAAATATATTGTCTCAACCAAATTTACTTTATGCCCAGGTGAATCTGAAGGTTTTTTGTTTTGTTTTACCATGACTCAATATGTTTCAGGTGTATATTTTCTGGTCTTTCAAATAAAATGTAAAATACTGTCCTGAATTTGAACTATAAATTTCGTCTTTATGTAGAGTATGTGTGCAGCATATCTTTTGTACTCCCAAAGTACAACTATATGTGCAGGATAAAATGTTTGTATTAGACTCTGTCTCAAATTCACAAAGTCAAAATTAACTTTCTCTTTCCCGGACTCAGCTGCTTTCTAATTTCATGGGTGTCCTGCAATATAAAATCTCTATGCATTTGATAGAGTTATTTCTGTTAGTAAAATGCCCTTGCAACTTACTTAACTTTGAATTATATGCCATTATGTCTATGTTCTATTTGGATGTTTTATTATTCTACTTAAAGTATAGATCATTTCTACCTACTGTATCTTATCATTTATTCTTCGTGCCTCTAGTTTTGAAATGACTCTCTTTTTTCGCTGCTTCAAGGTGTATTAATAAATGTTTTCTTCTAAAGATAAGCATTGTAAGTATGAAGAATATTTTCTAACCTTTGTTCATATCTCAACGTTTGCTCCACAGGGTCAATGCCTGAAGATTATAGTATTTGCTCCAAGGCCATTGATTATAACTCACAATATATTCAATGCCAGAGAATTCGTACAAGGGAGAAACCCTACAAGTGTGAAGAATGTGGTAAGGCCCTTAGTTCTCATAAAGCACTTTCCACACACCAGAGACTTCACACTGGACAAAAACCCTACACGTGTAAAGAATGTCACAAGGCCTTCAATACTCGCTCATCACTTTTTATACACCAGAAAAATCATACTGATGAAAAAACCTACAAGTGTGGAGACTGTGGCAGATCATTTTACTATCCTTCAGTGCTGAAGCAACATCAAAGGATTCATTCTAGAGAGAAAACCTACAAATGCGAAGAATGCAGCAGGTATTTTTGCTCATCTTCATACCTTAGACGACATCAAAGAAAACATACTGGAGAGAAACCATTCAAGTGTGAGCAGTGCGGCAAGTGTTTCTGCTTCACATCATTCCTTCGGCAACATCAAGCAATTCACTGTGAAGACAGACACTACAATTGTATGGACTGTGGTAAAAGCTTTAACTCTCTTATATACCTTAGACGACATCAAACAATCCATTCAGCACACAGTCCTTATACCTGTGTACACTGCGGCAAATGGTTTTTCTATTCTAGGGATGTTCAGGATCATCAAACAGTTCACACTGGAGAGAAACCCTACAAGTGTGACGAATGTCACAAAGCCTTTCATTATCACTCATCCCTTAAGACACACAAGAAAGTTCATATGGAAGAGAAACCCTACAAGTGTGAGGAGTGTGACAAAGCCTTTTATTATCACTCATCCCTTTGGAGACACAAGAAAGTTCATAATGGAATGAAACCCCACAAATGTACAGAGTGTGACAGATGTTTTAACTCATCTGTATCCCTTAGAGAACACCAAACAATCCATTCTGAAGAAACTTGTTATACCTGTGCACACTGCAGCAAGAGGTTTTCAAATTCAAGATATCTTCAGGATCACCAAAGAGTTCATACTGGAGAGAAACCCTACAAGTGTGAAGAATGTCACAAATCCTTTCATTATCAGTCTTCCCTTAGGAGACACAGGAAACTTCACACTGGAGAGAAACCCTACACGTGTTGAGAATGTCACAAAACCTTTCATCTTAACTCATCTCTTAGTAGACACAAAAGACTTCGTACTGGAGAGAATCCCTGCAAGTGTGAAGACCGTGACAGATGCTTTTCTTCATCTTCATCCTTTCTACAGCATAAAATAAATCATTTTGTATAGAAACCCTAAAATTGTGGGGAATTTAGCAAAGACTTTATTAATCTTAATATCCTTATTCAATGCATGTCATAGTTAATACAGGGGATAAATCCATCAAACGTCTTAAAAAGTTTACTTCTTCAAACCTGAAACCACATCAGATGATTCATTCAGACAGCAAACTTCATGAGTGTGTGAAATGTGATAAAATCTTTGCCAACAAATCAGGGATTATCCACCTGAAATAAGTTCATCATTTTGGGATGTAAACATCAACGTGTAACTTAACAAGAGCACAAATACTAAGAATGTCATCAGAGAACAGCAGAGAGTTCTCTTTGCTGTAACTCCCAACAGTTTGTTCAAGCAGTGTGTTTGAAACTTGCCTTTGTTAATAAGTCTCTATCTTCTGTAACTATAAATGCTCCATGAAACCTTGCCCATGTCATAGCTTTGTTCATTGGTTGCCCAGAATATGAGATCTGGGCTGTGGCATCATTACTGTTGTTTTTCCCAGTGGACTCATCCAAGCTGTTGTAATTCCTCCTTGGTGTAAGAAGCTCTGCCTCTCTGAGCTACCAGATTTTCACCCAGCATTTGAATCTATATTGATAATCCTTATTGGTAAAATAAAAGGACAGAGACAGAGTTAAAACTGTATAAATACTCTTGCCATCTAAGACATCCACAGCCAGGCAGCAGCTGTGGCTGCAGAGGTGCAGCCATCGGCTGAGGTAGTGATAGTTTCAGGTGCAGCTGCTGTGCCTCAGATAAAAACAGCAGTGCCCATAGAGCAACAATGGCATTAAAGCTCTGGGGTAACCAATCATTTTTGACTGCATTTGAAGTTCCTTCTACAAACTGTAACTCATGTGATGTTGATTTGGTGATAAACTTGTGGTGATAAATCCTAGGAAGGATTTAATGCAGTTATTCTAATGAGTGGACAGTAACTAAATGAACCCAAGTTCTCAACTTTATACCCACAGTCAGGCACCTCTCAGCCTTCACCAGAATGTATTAATTGTGTGGTAGATGGAGAAGACTACACAGATGCAAAATGATCAAAGTGTGAAGAATATTCCTCTGTGGAGGCCCTAATCCAAAGGTGACACCTGCATCACACATTGTCAGTGATTTCCCTTGCACACATCTGAAGCCAAAAGTCATGGAGAAGAGTTGGAAAGAATGTCAGAGCCCGGTACAGTAGATGTGTACCCTGAAGCAGTAGAAATGTTGAGACATTTCTAAAACAGTGAAACATTGATAGAAATCTTCATACCAATTAATGCATGAACACCCTGTGATTATGACTATGTGGATAACACTTATATAAGCTGAACCACAGCATACAACAAGCATGGCTATATAATGGTATAGGAGGTCCTTCTGTATTTGTGTTGCTTTCCTTGGTTAAATAAAGAAGCTGCCTTGGCCTTTTGATAGGACAGTACTTAGATAGGCGGGAAGACAGAACTGAATGCTGGGAGGAGGAAGGCAGACAGGGAGAGCTGCCATGAAATCTCCAGTCAGAGACTCTGAATCTTTCTCAGTAAGCCACAACCTCGTGGTAATACACAGATTAATGGTAATGGATTAGATCAGGATGTGAGAGTTGGCCAAGGAGAGGCTAGATATAATAGGCCAGGCAGTAATTAAATGAATACAATTTCTTTGTGGTTATTTCAGGGTAAGTTAAGCCACCTGGCAGGATGCAGTCCGTCTTCCTTACTACAGCATAAGGTCCTCCCTGTCTGACCTCAGTTGAGATGTTGGCAATTGCTGACTCCGAAGGAAGACAATCAACCTGGTTACCTTCCAGGTTCCACTCAACTCTCATACACCCATAAACACTGAGGAAGCACTAAGTGCATTGAAGAACTAACAAGGAAAAGGCCCACCGTGCTGTGACAGCAGCGTGTTCTCAAGATTAAGAAGTAATAGGCAAAAGAATATGGAACTTTAAGTAAAGGAAATTGAGCACAATAGATGAAACCTCTGCAGAGGGAATTCTAACCACGGATAATGGGTGAGCTGTCCCACACACCAGTTTAAGCCAGGAACTGTATCCTACCACTCTGGAGAGGAGAAGGGAATGTAAGCATGAACTCAGCACACCTGATGCCCAATCTACATCTGGGTTTGTGAAAAAGAACACACACACATACAACAAAGTAAAACAAACAAAAATAGCAGGGTAATATTGTTAAAATTCTAGTTAAACTCTCATAAAAACTGAATTCATTACATAGATTAACAGTTGAAAGTTTCAAGGGACTTAAGGACAGGTGGCAAACCCTGAGACGGATTATGGAGTTCTTTGGAAGTAAATGTCAGAGGGTTGAACTTTAATCTTGTTCAGTGATTGTCCTTGTGTCCCTGAAAAACCTCCTGCACTGAAGAGATTCCAGTGTTCCCAGGGAAACTGTTTTACAAGCTGTGGAGTCGAATGCATGTATGAACCAATCTGAGTCAGTACAGAGAAACATGCATTATTTATATGCAGGACTGCATATTAAGACAAAGCCTAAGTCATACTCTAACTTCTTTACGAAGAATGTCTTATTTACATTGTTAGTTTTAAAAGTATTTTGTAATTCTTGTTCTTATTTCTGTTTTTTTCTTTTGTCTGCTTTTAGTTTTTTCTTTTTTTTTTTTACAGAGAATGTCTCTAAATTTCCAGACCAGGTACGGATCATGTCGCATTGTCATGAGCCTCTGCATTTGGAATCACATTTAGGCTCACTAGGACTGGACTCAAAATTATCTTTAAAAGATACTTTTTGTTACCAAGTTAGTGTATTGTGTATTCTTACTTCCTTGTCTGGATGGCTAGCCCACAAATAATGACAGAGAGACTTATTATTAATTATCAAAGCCCAGCTTTAGCCTAGGCTTCCCCCCAACTTGCTCTCATAACTTATTAATCTATATTCTGTGTCTTGGCTTCTTCTTTTTTTTTTTTTTAACCTTTCCACCATTTTGTATCCCTGGCTTGGTCTGCACCTTGCTGACTTCTCTGGGCAGCTAGATTCATCTCTTCCTCTCCCTTCCCAGAAATACCGCCTGTCTTCTCCTGCCGAGTTACCGAGTTATGTGCTATTCAGCTCTTTATTAAACCAGCCAGAAAGTGCCCTGAATAAGACAGATCTTCACAGTGTACAAAAAGGTTACCCTACACAGCATTGCCTGATCGTTTTCAAGTACAACTGATTCAACGTGATTTTTAACACTGCAGTAATATTTCTAGTATTTCTGTCAAAGTCTCGACTCCCATTCACATACGTTGGGCTGTGGATCTGAAAGTGCACTATCAAACTGCTTCCCCGTGGCTGTTTGAAACCAAATCAGTAGCCACCTTGTTAAGAAACCACATTGTATACATTAAATCTTCATACCTTGTTTCTGTTTTCAGTGCCTAATGTACCTAACAAAACAGGTTTTAGCCGGGCGGTGGTGGCGCACGCCTTTCATCCCAGCACTCGGGAGGCAGAGGCAGGCGGATCTCTGTGAGTTCGAGACTAGCCTGGTCTACAAGAGCTAGTTCCAGGACAGGCTCCAAAACCACAGAGAAACCCTGTCTCGAAAAAAAAAAAAAAAAAACAAACAAACAAAAAAACCAAAAACAGATTTCAGCTATGCCCCCATGAGGTATGCCCACTGTTTGCCTCATAAAAATAACTTGTTGATATGATTGCGCTTTTGCTTTAGGAAAACATTTTTCCTGATATCTTGATGATGACCCCCGCTCCACACAATGTATTGTTGAACTTGTTTTTTCTTTTATTTCCTCATTTCTAACTGCCAATAATCTGGACAGCATGTTTTTATGTTTTTTGTTTTAATAACTCCAATCCTTCCCCAAAAAGGCACCTAAAAAGGCAATGAGGGCTGCTCTCTGAAATACCGACGCTGGGAGAAAACGTCTACTGGCCTCTTCCTGGTGCTCCTGAAAACTAAGCTTGCTTTAATTAGACATTCGAGCAATTCATGATTCTCAGGCCTAACTGCGGGTAGCCAAACACAAGCCCAGGAAGAGTAAATATCATCCCTCAAGGATTGCAGGGATTCTTTCGCGCAGACTTCTGGGAAATGTAGTCCACCCCACTGTGACATCACCCAAAGACGTCCAGGAAAGCTTTTTCCGGCTTTTGGTCTCCACACGTGCGTCTTCCTCAAAGTTGGGCGAGAGTCCCGCCTACTGCCCATTCCCGTTGCGTCTCTGACGTGGAGGTTGGTCCAGGGTGCAGCGCAGCCTGAGGCTCTGTGCGGGGTGCGGGGCCGTCTTGGAGGGAGCGGACCTGGGCTGGGTGGGAGGGCGGGAGAAGCTGCCTTGGAGGTGCTGTGCTCAACTGGCTGGGACGCCTGAGATTGCAGGTCAGGGCTGGAGAGAGGGCGACAGGGACTGTGTCCTGAGTGATGGTTTCCTGAGTATGCCGCGTGCAGCCCCAGTGCTCCTTGGGCTTCTGGGACAGGAGAGCAGCCTGGGAGCGCGGAGTAGATGACAGTGCTGGGTCCAGGGTTGCAGGCTAAGGATGGTCAGCTGACTACCTGCTCCTGAGGGGGAGCTGGGAGCTCCCTGAGCAGCTTTGGTGGGGAAGCCGGCCTCACTTCTGACTCATTCTCAGGGGGATGCTGTGAGATTTCTCAGTATCTATAGAGCAAATGGTTTCTGACTCCTCCTGTACTCTGTAGCCGGTCTGCTGTAACAGTCTTGAGGTCTTGATTGTGTCCATTTTTTTCTGCCAGTAAAGAATTAAGAGAGGACAAACCCGAGGCTCCAGAAATCACGGGTAGGAAATTCCGAAACACGGACAGATCTTCCAGAATCAGCTGCTGTAGAAAAGCTTTGGCTAGGGTGAGGGAGCACACATTCCGCAGACGCGCGTAGTGAAGGACCCCGTGCAAAGCAGAATGCGGACTAGGAAAACTTTTGTGTCAGGTCAGCAGACCTGTGTGTATTCCTGGGATTTCAGTAACCAGACCTGTGATAGAAAAGAAACGTCAGTCTTCTCTGAGGCACATCCCTTTCATCTCTGCATTTGTGAGGGGGAGGCAGGGCCCTCTGGTCCTCCCCTGCCTCATAGCAAATTCCAGGCCAGCCTAGGCTACCAGAGTCTGTGTCAGAAAACATTTAAACATACTTCATGTGTGGGATAAATAGTTTCTGCCGTTAATTTCCTGTTTATTACCGTGAGCACCTTGACACATCTGTGGAGTCAGCATTTTGCTGACTTAAGAATTATTTCTGCTTAACTTCTGCTGACCTAGTCCAGGTGTAATTTCAACTTTTGTCACTAACATGCTTTTGTTAAAGACATTAAGTTTTGGTGATTAGACAATTGTCTCCATTTACTCTGTAAAGAAGAATTCTTTGCCTTGCTTGAATATTCCTATACGCAATGAATGTTCATTCTTTTTGCATATTAATCTGTGTTAGCTGCTCTCATGACCTGATGCAGCTTTCTTCCGGTTTTCTCTGGTTTCTTCCAGTTTGTTCCTTTCATATCTAATCTGAGACCCCATTATTTCTTCATGTGTATTCTCTAGTTCTTGGCTGATGCGGCTACTGTCGTTACATTCCTGGGTCTTTGTCTGCAGCTGCAGCTGGGATGTCTTCCCCTGTCCTTACAGCAGAGGTTCCTCTGTGAGCAGATGCTTCTTACAGTGAGCCAGAACAAAACCACTTCCTGCGCTGTCCTTCACATGGGGCACTGCATAGCCAACAGTAAAGCAAACTGCTAACGGTGGGTCCTGCTCTTCCACAGGTCCAGTCCAGTTCCCCTTGCTGACAGTCCTGTGTCTTTCCTGCCAGGCTTCTTTCACTGTGCTCTGTGTCAGTGTGAGGGAAGGAGTTACCTGTGTTTACAGCTCATGTGTAACCGTGCTGTGTTAGTTAGACATGTCATCTCTGGAAAACCCTGGAGCGGAGGTGCTGGGTGATGATCGATCGGTTCCTGCCGATCGATCTATATGATTATGTCAGAGGCCATGGAGAGACCTTGCAAAAGATTTGAGCAGGGGTCAAACACATGCAAGGAATAAACCTGAGCAGCACATGTTTTCATTACGTTGTCAGTTCGGGTTATAGAAGTGTCTGCCATGGTGTCCTCCATAGTCCTTTTACAAGTAGTAACATATCAGTTACATATGCTGAGTTCAAAGTTGTGCTTGTTTGTCCTGCCTATTCTCTTAAAAACTGCACCCCATTGTTCTCTTCTTTGCAGAATCTATTTTAAACACGAGTCAGACCTGTTACTATATGTGAGACACTCCTCTTGCTGTTGCTTTCTGAAGACTCAGAAACAATATGCAGGCTGTTAAAATTCACAGCGACATTTGCACAGCGAATGTACAGAGCATGTGACATTTATTTTTAAACTAAATTCTCATTCTATCATCCATGTTTTCCATAAAGGACATTGCATTTAGTCCCCAGTGCTTTTTTCATGGTTCCAATTCCATTCTTTGAGCCATAGTATTCCAAAAAATGGTAGCTTAAAGCGAAAAATTAATGATGTTGCATTCCGCGTTTGTTGGATAAAGAACTGGGACAGAGATCTAGGAGCTGCTACTGAATGGCGTGTGCGTTGCATTTTAGCCCTAGGTGCTTTCATCGGTCCACAGGCTGCTGCGAATGGAGGGTCA